TCTCATGGCCTTGATATGAACCAATATATTGCAGCTTCCCATACAGGAGGCTGTTTATTAGCCAGTCTTCCCTTGCTGTTCGATTCTTCAAGATGTCCCTGTATTTTTTTCTGGCTGGGCTGGTTTTATAAATAACACAGGTCTTGTGCGACAGCTGGAGTTTATCTGATGTTCCAATGACATGAAGAATGCTACTCTTAATCAAAGAAATGGTTATTCAAAGTTAGTAATTAAAAAAAGCAAAAGAAAAAACTAGAAAATGCCACAGGATTCAAGATGCCCTAAGATGCTTCTATTATTGTAGTAAGCGAGTACTTTTGTAACTACAAATGAAAGGTTGCACACTATATAAAGGCAGTTGATAAACATGACCTATATATATATAAACAGCCTAGGTTATAAGAATGAGTTGAGGTAATTCGAACAACAACAAATAAACTTGAAAATAAAATGATCTAATTAAACACTTACACCAGAAGAAAGCCATGTATGTTACCAATAAATGTATTCTGGAAAAAAATAATGAAAGCATTACATGTACATAAAACCAGTTATTTCATTTGGCAAGCAGTAATTCAGTCCACAGACCTGTTTATATGGAGATATACTTAGAAAGGTTCAAAACAAACAATGTGGAAATCCTGCACATCACAAACAGATAGAATGAAAGAAATGTGCTTCAAACAACAGTATAAGAGACAATTAATCAAACCTTCGTCCACAATTAAACATCTAAATACATCCAGAATAAAGGTACTAACAGTGGACGTTTGTGTCACAATGTGTAAGTAGACAAATGAAGCAAACAAGACATTTTCAAATAACTGCCACAGCTGAATACTTCTGCTATATTACCAGAATATTCTGTCAGCATAAAACATATTAAATACAAAGAGTGACCACTCCCATTAAAAAAAAAATTTTAAAATGTATAATGCAGCAAAAACAGCGTTTAGAACTGTTAGTAGCGAACTGTTGTCCAACCATCATCTTCTTCTTGGCGCAGCCCTGAAGTAGGAAAAAAACAAAAAACAAATGAGCCACACTTAACGGGGAAGAAATTATCCTTCTATGATTATCTGAGAACATAAATGCCTGTTTACAGAAGGGCTGCAACACTTGCACCTTTCAGTCAACACATCCACTTCAGGGATTTGTTGTCTAGGTTAACCTATAATACCAGGAAAGTCAACAAATGGTTGTTTACAACGAACAAACAAAATGATAACTGGAACAGCTTGAAAACTTTTTATTTTAAACACATACATTGTCCCTTTATTTTTCAACGCAATTTTCACCAACACTGATGCATTTTTCTCATTATTTTATCAGCCCTCCCAAACCAGCTGCACAGAACTAAGTGGTTTTCTAAACCACATTTTCACTTCACATTTAACTGCGTCATTTGCAAAATTCCTGCTAAAGTGGAAATCGCGTAAGGCTAACTCAGGGCTGTGAGGTGGGTGTTCCAGAAGTTTCCACCCCAAATGGTGAATTTTCTCCTGAGTTGACTTTATGGGGTTTGGCATTGCCATGAAGGAGCAATGTCAACAGGACGACCAGACCAGACTCTTCGTCAACAATTTTAAAACGCTAAACATTTGTTGTTCTTTTAAACCCAGCAATGCACTGCTTTACAGGATAAACATTTGTCAGCAATAACAGGAAACTTTTCCTTGTGAATGCACTTTTCAATTGTGTTTTTAAAATTACATACATTTAATGTGGGGGGGGGGGGGGGGGGGGGGGGGGGGGGGGGGAGAGTAGCAATGGACTTGAAATATTCAGCACTGGGGCAACATTTAACCTTCTACGCCAATCGAAGGTATGGAGGAAGGAAGGAAGAGAAGGAGAAGGGAGGAGAGAGAAAGAAAGAGAGAGGGTGTAAAGGTGCAGGTAGGAAGAAGGACAGATTATGGCCCCCTAACAAATATAACACATCAAAAAACAAAACTGACATCACCAGGCTTAAGCTGGACCCCTCTTCTTCCCTTCTTGTGTTACTAGAAAAAGAGGTATGGAGCAGCACATTTAGAAAGCATTTGAACGAGAGAAAAAGGGGGGGGGGGGGAACAGAGAAAGAGAGAAAAGGAGAGAAAGAGAGAGAGAAAAAAAGAGACAGAAAGAAAGAAAGAAAGAGAGAGAGAGAGAGAAAGAGAAAGAAAGAGCGAGAGAGACAGAGAGAAAGTAAAGGCGCAAGTAGGGAGAAAGACAGAGATTATGACAAATATAACACTTCAAAACTGACATCAACCCCCCTCCCACCCCACAACTTTTTGTGTGATAGTTACTAGGCAAAGAGGTATGGCGCAGCGCATTTAGAAAGCATTTGGACAAGGAAAAAAAATGGAGGGAGAAGGAAAGGAAGTACAATGAAAGATTGAGAGAAAGAGAAGAAGATTGAGAGAAAGAGAAGAAGATGAAGATCAGAGGAGAGGGAGAGATACAATGCAGGAGACAGGAAGGAGTAGACAAGAGGTAGAAGAGTGAAAGAGGGAAGAACTGCCAAGCACTGTAAAGATAAACCTGGCAAAAAATAGAAATCGGAAATCCAGTTTACATTATTTTGCTTAACCTACTATCTCCCAAAGTAATCCTTGTTTCCTGAAAACACGGCCTTCGGTAGCTATTTATACGGCCAGTGATCGCTAGAAACAAAGGCACACAGCACACGAGGTTGTGCTTCTCCCTTCCACCCCATGCCATGCTACCTGCGTGTATCCATGGGCTGCAACAAAGCCCACCCTTCTCTAGACATTGACAAGCCATTGCAGCTGAAAATGGCAGATAATCAACTGCCCTCATACCCGGAAACGACCCTAAACATTCAAAACAAAGGTAGCCAAAACTAGCCAAATGGCTGAAAATGGCCTGACTGCAGATCTTTTAAACATCCTATTGCAGTGGTCAAATTTCCAGGCCATATGTCTTTTTTCAAGGTCAATTTGTCCAGTAAAAAGGCAAGGTCAGGGTTGCAATTTCCAGGCTAAATTCAAGTTTCCAGGTCAGCTGCAAACCCTAGTTTGTGAAATTTCTTTTTGTTTAATTATTAAACTATGGAAATACTGGTTCGATTCCAGATACTGGCATTTTGGAAGCAGACAACCTTGCATTCATTTTGCAGGAGCTGTACTATGAGCTGACCCTTCAGATATCAATAGCAAATGAACACAAAATTGGCAAGTAAAACCAAAAACAGTCATCAAATGCTAGGGGTTGGTTCTGCGCCACCCTAAAAGGATACGCAACTGCTGTTATCTGTTATTACATGTCCTAGACATGAGAAACATGTTACTTGTTCTAATGCACCTCTACACTGTGATGTGTACCATTTTTTGGGGGGTACTTCCTTCTAAGCTATAAAAGTATATATCTTTCTGTCAGGACTGCTAAAAACCTACTGAACTAATAAACAATATTGTCTCAAAAGAGCCACTAGCCGCTACCATCTTATGCTTTTGCTTTATCATTGTGCCAAAGCGGCCTTACTGTCCATTTTCAAAGGGGAAAAACTGCTAGAAAATAAAGAAAAAGACTGCAATGAGGCAACTATGTGCAGACTTTAAAAAAAAAACATCAATGTAAGTTATCTGCTACATACCAGTTTCTCTTGTGTCTTTTTTCTCAGATCTTAAAGGTGCATCACCTGTGTTCCAAATTTGGGTAATAAAGAAAACAATATTATAACACCAAGCCACATAATCAAAACATTTTAAAAATGTGCTAATAATTTGTATTGTGAATAAATGTTTAAACATTTAAAATGTCGCTCTCATTTTGAAGCAATATATGCTTTCTCCTAAACAATGAAAAGCACTGTCAACCTTAGACAGGGTTCATAGCCAAATTTACCAATCAATTTCAAGGCTTTTCAGGGTATCCTTAGTTTTTTTCTAATGTTATCTCGGAGTAAATCTGAAACACAGTATTTTTGCCTTGTCCAAGAGTGTTCCGAGCACATAAGGTACACTTCGCAAACAAAGTACTTTTTTCATGCTCATACATGTCGGTATACCAGCTCAGATATAGTGTTTTTACATTTTTCTTAAAACTTGGTACCTGAAGGAGAGAAGGAAGGAAGGCAGGAGGGAGAGAGTCATACAGAGAGGGAGAAAAGCAGATACAAGGTGGGACAGACAGACTGTGAAAGACAGAGAAGGGGACAGTGGGTAAAGAGGGTCTGGCAGGTAGAGATGGACATATGAAAAGAGGGCGAGGAAGGAAAAGAGAGAGAATAGGGAGGAAGAAAAAATGTGACAAAGAGGGAGGGATCGAGACATGAGGGAGCGTGAGAGCGCGAAAGAAGAGAGGGAGAAAAGTGTTGGTAGACTTAGAAAAAGCTTAGACTTTAAAAAATTTGATAAAAGTCACGGGGGGGGGGGGGGGGGGGGGGGGGGGGTGGGGGGGTGGGGGGGGGGGGGGGGGGGGTGGGGGGGGGGGGGGGGGGGGGGGGGGGGGGGGGGGGGGGGGGGGGGGGGTGGGGTGGGGGGGGGGGGGGGGGGGAAGCAAACATTTTTTTTAAATGCATGTTTGTGGGAAAATGTACAATTGGATCAGTCACTACCTTGAGAACAGGGCTGCCAGGACAAAAGTACAAACAAGCAAAATATGTTTGTCAGAACATGGTGTACCCCAAGGTGGAGAATTGTTACCAACATGTTAGCATACATAAATGATATTATAAATAATTTTCCAACGAGAGTACACACCTCGCTCTTTGCAGGCGACTTAGCTATATGGACTAGCGAATAAGAAATTAGTGTAGCCAACAACAGAATGCAGCTAGCCTTGTCAGTGTTAGAGGAATGGTAAAAAAAAAAACATGGCTAGTGAATATAAGTGAAGAGAAAACAACATGCACTGTGTTCTCCCTCTCAAAAAAAAAAAAAACAGCCAATTAGAACAGAGGAACATATTCTGAACACCCGCAACTTCTGAGAATAAACTGTGTGATGTCAACAACCTCAAGTTGACTGCTGATTTCTTCAAACATGCACACTGACATCTGAAGGTATAAGAATAATAATACTGTCTGGAATTCCTGCAGCTGACAGCCCCAAAAGATGCAGAGCTTGTAAACCACTATGCTGGAAGAAAATGAAATAGATACACCTGTCCGTATACTGCCACACAGGATGCCCCTTGGCATCTAAGTGTGAAATCATAAAACTATAGTGTATGAGGCAGTCCACTGCAGTAAAAGTCTAACATGCACGCACACAAAAAGCAAAGTACTTCTTTTTGTGGTGTAGGTAATTGAAATCCCAGGACTGCAGGCTGTCTACTGTTGGCCACAAAAGAGATAGCCCATGATGAATGAGGTGTTTAATAAATGGAAGTGAGGTTAAAACGATTCCTTGGGTGAGCCCAGTATAGAGCACTGTGTATCACCAAATTTTAGAAGCCTCCTTAGATGGCAGGGAATGCTCATGTTCTGCGCCTGCCTTCTCTTGAGGGCTTATCAGCATTACATTGCCTCTCTTTACCGGCCTGATTGGGGCACCACCTGTGACCTGGGAAATAAAGATAAACACGTAACGAGGAGACTGCTATGTCCCATGAAACTAACCAGCAAGACAAACCCGGCAAACAAATGCCAGCAGAAGTCGAATGTATTGGCCAAAAGGTGCAAAAATCGTAGCTACGCCGTAAACAGACAACACAATTACATCTTCGGACTAACGCAGAAGAAGTACATACTAAGACCGCCGTACCATAAATTATTCTTCCTTAAAGAAACTCATATTGAAACACTGAGATATGCTGTGAATGAAGCAAAGGGCTCTCAAATAGACAAATTTTATATCTTGTTGAAAACTGCATTGGGCATACTGGGAGAATGTCAGATGATTAGGGTAAAGGTTTAAAAAAAAAAGTATACAAGAGAGCTGAACGGCTGTAGTTCACGAGGCAGACCAAGAAGACTGGAGAGATAATATATAGGCAGACCTGCAAACACTTTGGAGTCAACTGAACGAGGGGACTAATCACAGAGAAAAATGGAAGCAGGTGACATCTAAAGCAATAAACCTCAAGGGCTCAGAATACTAAAGAAGAATATGCTAATACTCGAAAAATGGGTAACAGTTAGACATTTAATTCAGTTATGTCTTACATAGGTCACCTCCTCGAGATTCAACTTTTTTTTTTTTAAATACCAAAGAAACAAAATCCATACCTCGTCTCCAAGTCTCTTCTCTGTCTCCAGCTCTGTGGTCTGAATGCTGACGTCTGTCTTCACGTGGTGGTCCTAGTCTATCGTCTCGAAGGGGCGCTCTGCGTTCATCAAGGCCTTTCCTGTCAATAGGGCCCCGCCTGTCATCTTTATCAGCAGGAGGACCACCTCGTCTCCAACTTCCATCTAAATCACCACCTGGTCTACGTACATCATCTCTTTGATTTTCACGTGGTGGAATATCTCTAGAAACCACTTCATCTCTAGTTCTCCAGCTGCCACCAACGCTAGTGCGTGTCTGTGGTCCATCTTTAGGTCTCTCACCACCTCTCCAATCATCTCGTGCTGGTGGTGCACCTCTATCTTCACGTCTATCTCTCCAGCTTTCAAAATGTGAATCTCTTGGACCAGATCTCCAATTATCGCCGTCTGGTCTTGTTTTATCCCTATCATCTGCGTGTCCACTTCGCCATTCATCTCGATGCAGTGGTCCTCGCTCATCTCTAGAACTTCTGTCATCATTTCTTGGAGGAAATTGGTCTCTAACATTTCTCTCCCTGTCATCAGTAGTGCCTCTTGTACGAACTAACGGAACTGCAGCCTGGCTAGTAACACCACCACGAGATCCTCTAAAATCGCGGTCCTCTCTTGGTGGACCTCTGAAGTCATTATGATCTTTCCTAAAATCTCTATCATCCTTTGGGGGGCCTCTAAAATCATCCCGTGAAAGTCCTCTATCCTCTCGTGCTCCTCGTGAGTCCCTATCATCTCTAGGTCCTCGTAAGTCCCTATCATCTCTAGGTCCTCGTAAGTCCCTATCATCTCTAGGCCCTCGTAAGTCCCTATCATCTCTAGGCCCTCGTAAGTCCCTGTCATCTCTAGGCCCTCGTATGTCTCTATCATCTCTAGGCCCTCGTATGTCGTCCCTCTCATGTTCTCTTGGAGAGCTCTTAAAATTACGTTCCATATATTCATCTCTATCCTTTGGCGCTTCCATATCTCCATCAACATGTAGCTCACTGTCTTCATTCTCCCCGGTATCTCTAGAATTAAAACAGAAACATTTTTAAAAAAATATTTTATCATTTTATAAACACATTCAAATTCAACATATTTCTCTTGTTCTCTCCAGTATGATCCTACTTAATATTTTTCCATTATTGACAATATTCGTCAATAATTTTCACTCTCCTGAAGTTTTTGCATTGGCTAAATAACTAAATAACATCCTCTACAGTTTGTCTTCAGTTATGCTGTTAAATAATTATAGTAATTCAATTTATGTAGAAACTTGTTTTTGAATTACAGCACTAAACAAAAGTATTTTTTCCAGCATCACTTTGGAAAAGTAAACACAAATTTGTAACTGCAAAAGTAAGAATTAGTCCCAATATCTTCTTCTACTTTCTATTTGACAGCTTTAAATTCGGAGAAGGTTTTGGTTGTTCCTCTAGACTGTTTGCTCCAAGCTCCTCAGGCAGACACACTTCGACTGCCCCCCCCCCCCCCCCACACAGGAAATGTCCCAATATAAAACAAGCACTAAATATTTTGGTTAAAGGGTACTAAAAAATGTCAAACCTCTTTGATTTCCAGCTGTTTTCTTTCTCTAATTCACGTTCTCTCCAGCCACCAACCTTAGGCTTCCAGGATTTACCCTCAATTCCTTGATCCTCTGATGCAGGTTCTCCTCTGCGCCACTCTCCTTCAGGTTCTCTGGCTGTAGTACTACTAACTCTTTCATTCGTCCGACGAAGTTCATGTCTAAGAAAATGCACATGAGACATTTTTGTATCATAACCAACATTTTGGGTGAGAAAACATTTTACAATTGTTTGGTACCATCGATATAGTCAGAATGAAAATGAATTTATCTTTATAATTTTTTTAAGTGAGGAAACTGCACTGTGTCTGTCTAAAGCATAGCTGCGCTGTCTGTGCCTTTCGGCAGACACATCCAACTTCTCCAGGCATATATTTCTATGGTTAGCCTTTCTGGTTAATTAGCACATTTAAGCTATGTTCGTATGGTTTATGGGGATTTCATCATCACCTGATCCAAAAGTGTTGATTCAAAAAGAACCACCAAGCGCAGCTTCTTGCAGACTGGTTGGCCCTCAATGGAAGACGGATGAAGAATATAGAAATCCTACCACCAAAGAATGCTTCTATAAACATCAATACATATTGCTCTGGTACCAGGATCATCCAAGGAATCGCCAAATGCTGCAGATGACTGCTCGGCCACTGAACCTCCCGCTATTATGTGCAGCATTCTTTAGGGATCCCCAGGAAGCGGTTCACAGATCGCAGACTCCAACAACCCCAAAAAAATATGGGCATCTTACATCCTTGGCATGTAAGTCTTTTCGCTAGTCTTTTCTCATGGCCATTGAATATTTCATGGTGATGACTCAGAGTACTTAGGCATATGGAAAGCATGCATCAAGCATGGCTTATGGCTTTCTCAAATGCTTATGACTCCAGTGAGTATGGTTGACGGCAGCGATATTTGAACTTTTTAAAAATCATCAGGTAGGATCTTTTAACAATAGACCATCAACAGGACCTCTCATTTTTCTAACAGGTTTTTCAATGTTAATCACTCATGAGGGCAACCCCCCCAACCCCCAAAATGGAGCCCCAGAATCCAGACACAGAACCTCACATCCACAGATAAACAGCCATAAGCTTTCCTCATGTCTGTGACTGAAATCACTTAATTAAAAACTGCATAATAAAAAGCTATAATGAGTCACTTTAAAAAGAAGTAAGTTTACAAAAGTTCACAATAAAAATTTTCAGAGTGTTAATCTATTGGCACCAATTACACTGGAACTTCGCTTAACGCGCATAATCCGTTCCAGAATCATACTCGTTAAGCGAAATACTCGATATGCGAAACAATTTTTCTCAATAAAAAAATGTAAACTACCATAATGCGTTCCATGTCGGGGAAAAAATACTCACAAAATGCTATGTATATAGTTTATTTAGAGAAAATTATATAGGTGTTGTTAAGGAAAGTAAATCATCATCATCTTTTCTTCAAACGTGGAACGAACCCACCTGCAATGTGAATTCGATTTTTAGAAAACAAAAAGTTGAAATATTTATGATACATAGCTAATTATTTTTTTTACTAGAAAGATGTCCAGAGAAATTTGTTTTTGCAGACCCTTTTAAAAAAATTAAGTGAAAATGCGACAGCATTATCATTAAATAAATTTGCAACGCGCATAGCCACTTCTTTATTAGGGTGATGCTTCTTAATGTAAGATTCAACAGTTTTCCCATGCTTTCAGCACTTCTCTTTTTTCGCCAGAAGATTGTTGCTTTTCCTTCTCCTCCTCTGACAAACTTTCCTCCAAAACTTCTTGCTGTGAAACACAATGCAACTCCATAAGCTCTTCGGTGGTCAGCTCTTGGCTGTGCTCTTCCACAAGCTCTTTGATATTAGTGTTGTCCACCTTCAATCATATGACAGTGGTCAAAGACACAATCTCGAATACAGGTTCCACAGGTACCGTCTCCAACCCCTTAAAGTCACAAATCGACAACGCTCTCCGACCAAAGCTTCTTCCAAGCAGAAGTTAAAAAAGTTTTCTTGGTAACCCCCCCCCCCCCAATCATCTTGAGGCAGTCAACGATGCGGAAGTGATTTTTCCAAAACTCAGAGTGAGGCTGGCCCCTTCAGTCACCTGAAAACAATGCTCAAAGAGTTCTTTAGTGTACAGCTTTTTAGAAAGTTGGAAATAACTTGCTGGTCCATGGGCTGGAGTAACGGATTGGTGTTAGGAGGCAGAAACTGGATCTTGATGAACTTAAATTCTTCAGGGAGGTCTTTTTTTTGTAGGCCTGGAGGATTCATGTACATATATAACAAACGTTTGAGAAAATGTGTGATCACAAGCAACTCTATGATGCGACTGGAACGAGTGCTAAACACAGACTGATGTAACATGCAAACAATCTGGGACTTCCCATCTCCTCGCCACTCGTTATGTGAAATGTCGCTAGTTAAGCAAGTCATTCTTTTACAATTTGTTTCGCTTTTTATGCGAATTACTCGTTTATGAGAGATGCTTGATAATATTCTCAAAAACTGCTTTGATTGCCAGATTTTAAGCAGGACATGCTAAATCATTACCATGTTAACGTTCACCGGCTGTAAACTCTAGCAAAAAACTAGATGTGGACATTTGTGGACATGTCTTGTCCCAGAACATTGGTTGCGCATGCAAATAAATGTAGAATATAACTTTTACAGATCTGATTTATGTGGGCTCTCACATGCGTGTATAATGGAAATACAGAATAAATTTTATATAAATAATTTGGAATCATTGGACAAAAATCACTAGTGAGAAAATCAATATCGATAGTGAAATACCTAGTATTAGACTTACTATAGAGATGTCCAAACAATTGGCTAACCTCAATTTGGGTTATGTGCACACCCACGAACATACGCAAAATAATGTAATCGTTTAGTCTATAAATTAATTTACCAAAACAGTTCAATAGCCCGTCACAACTATAGGTGTACAGGGTTCGTAGCCAAATTTACCAATACCATTTCAAGGCCTTTTGAAGGTCCTTTTAAAGGTATTCTTAGTTTTTTAAGGTTGCCTCAGTATTACCCTGAGGCAAGGTATTTCTGCCTTGTTTAAAATGTACCGAGCACACAAGTTACTTTATTTGTGCGCACACCTGTGGGTATACCAGCACAGCACAGATAGTGTTTTTACATTTTTTGTAGACGGTGGTAGAGGGGGGATATAGAAAGGGAGGAAGACAGATGCTGGGACAGGCTAGGACAGACTGTGTGAAGATGGTCAAAAGAAGATAGAGGAAAGAAGGAAAAGAGAGGAGGAAAAAGATGACAAAGAGAGGAAGGGAGAGAGGGGGAGGGACAGCGTAAGTCACAGGGACACAAATACAAAAAGAAGGACATGCAGATAGATAAAGAGATGGGCAGATAAGAATATAAAGAATGGAAAGAAACAGAAGTAGGAAGAAAAAAAAAGAGAGACAAATAGACCTGGATTGAGGGAGACAGAGATTTAGACAGAAAGGAGGGACAGAGTATAGAAAGGCAAACATACAAAGGGAGAGAACCAAAGAGAGAATAAAAAAGCAGAGCAAGATAATGGGAGGGAGGTAATCAAAGAGGAAGTGATGATGCTGGTCCCTCTCGCTCCAAGGAGGCTGCGTGATTTCAAAGCATGATGTCCGCCTCGAGTACTGGAGGTTACAGGTTCAATCGGGGGGGGGGGGGGGGGGGTGTTTAGAGAGAGAGACAGAGAGAGAGAGCCAAGAGAGAGAGACACACAGAGAAATGAGAAGAAGAAGAAATGGGAAGCTAAGGGGGAATTAAAATGTTGATCACCAAAAACACTAAAGATAAACTAAGCCAAAAATAGAACTGGGGAATCCAGCAGATGTCACTTTGCTAGCTACACCATCTCCCAATGTAATCCTGGTTTTTAGAAACAAATGCACACAAGGCAGCTTCTCTCTCCTGCCCCATGATATGCGCGGCTGTCAGCTCACCCTACACAAGCCATTTCAGCTTAAAATGGCTGATAACTGCCCGCTCACCAAAAACTGTAAATACCTAAAATAAAAGTAGCTGAAAATAGCCTAACTGCCGGTCCCCCCCCCCCCCCCCCCCTTCTTTCATTGCCGCCAGCAAAATTCAAGATGTCTTTTTTTTTAAAGGCCAATGTCCTTTCCAAGGTAACAATTCAGGCTCCCGGTCAGGGCTGCAATTTCAAGGTAAAATTCCCTGTTTTTGGTGGGCTACATGTAGTGTAGTGTATATACTATGGCAGACTTACTGTTTTTTCTCTTCATCCTTTCGCTTTGCTTCTCTTTCTTCAATCTCCTTTTCTCTTGCCTTTTGCTTGTTTAGCTGCTCATCTAGTTTGGCTTTTCGTTCTAAATATTCTCTTTCTTCAGCTTCTCTTTTCTCTAATTCTTCTCGCTCTTTTGCCTCTCTCTCTGAAATTCAATGCACAAAGACAAACAATTAGTCACCAACTGAACTGCTAATAAGGAAGATCAGATAAAATTTCTACTTGGATCCTACAGGAAGAACATCTATACATTTTTTTTTAACTTCATAGATAAAGTAACTAGTTCCAAAGTTTTAATAAAATGCTAATAATTTTTGCAGCAATACCATGTAAGCAAGACAATAACATATTACTTTATTACACAAATAACCTGAGTGACAATAATAATCTTTTAGACTTTTCTTCAGTGTTTAATAAATGTCAGCTTTTTTGAGCGCACTTTTATCTCCTCTTCGATTCCTTTAATTTTTAGTATTAGACTGCCTTTTCCAGGGTACTCACATTTCCACAGGTTAATGTGAGCCCTGAAAAAATTATCACTTTTTCTTCAGGTGCCTGGCCATCTTTTAAAAATGACTTTATACTTCTCTCAGTCTTCTAAAAATGAATCTATTTCTCAGTCAGATATTTAATGTTGCTTATATTATTTGTTGCTCTGTAACAAATACAGATAGAGACACCTACCTCTAATGTCCAATATTTTCACACTGGAATTAGAAAAACACATCAAAATACAACCAATCTTGACTGAATGATTTTCAAGTAAATTTTTTCTCAGCACTTAAATGCTGCCTTAGAAACTGAACGTCTGGCACATGACACAGCACCAAGTACACTTCAGTTTGTTATCATACTCTGTGTCGAATGCAGCTGTGCGTGTCTCTGCTCACACAAATTTCGTGGCTAATTTCCGGAATCTGTACTTTTTCTATATTAATTTTTGTCTTAAAAACAAACTGAATTACTTATGGTTGGTTAAAAAAAAAAGGGTAGTGCTAAAATACAGCGAGACAAAAGCTAATAGAGCAAAAAACTACCATTAACAAAAGATTTTTCGCTAAACTTTTTAATAATTATTATTAAAATATGATGATCATCTATTACTATATTGACAGTGTACTGTATTTAGGAAATAAATTTTGAAATTTGAATGCTGATTATTTCAGTTTCAAATTGTTTTCAATGCGGAAAGAACGAATGCCTTGGAACTCAAATGATTTGGAATTTGACCATTGTCTAAGAATGCACTATGTTCAAATTCCAAGGTCCAACTTTAAATTTTAACTCACCTTGTTATATCAACAGAACTTTCTTGATGGTCTTAATGAGTGGGTTTTGTCAAAGCTGTTGATGTCAACACCTGTGATTTTCTTTACAATAATCTAATAATTTATTAAGCCCTACAGGGCAGAGTATAACTCCTGTCAATTACAGACAACAGCTTACTGCATGAAACTTTCTTAAAGCACTAAATTTTTATCCCTGTTAGAAATTGTTAATAACTTTAATGTTTACCTTGCTTCAATAGTTCATCCTGAGCTCTTTGAGCAGCTTCTTCTTTTTCCTGTAACCACTTCTGTCTTCTTTCTTCTTTTCGTTTAGCTTTTCGCTCCAGCAGTCTTTTGCGCCTCTCTTCTGTCAATTGCTTCTCAAAGTCTTTAAGTTTCTCCTGCATTATGGGGAAATAAAGTACAATTATTTGCAAAAATAAAACTTGATACATGTCAATCTAAGTTGTTCAAAAGGAACACAGGAAGGAAGTATTATTGTTAATGTGCTACATGTGAAGTCAGCCACTTAATTTAAGGGCTTACATCAGTTGTTCTCAAACTTCCTAATGCAGCGATGCTTTAATACTTAAGCGATTGTTTCCTGATAGTCTTTGGCGGCTCCTGTGAAAGGGCCGTTCAATCCACAAAATGGTCGCAGCCCATAGGTTGAGAACAGCTAGCTTACATGGTGTCAGCTACCAGTAACAGTGACAGTACTGACTATGCTCACTAAATACTGTTTTGAGGCATAAATGTTATCGTCTGTGTTAATACACACACACACATATATATATATATGGCTTTCAGGCCCAATTCAACTTTTTTTACAAGGGTTTTTGTTATCGTCTGTGTTAATACACACCACACACACACACAATACACTATATATATATATATATATATATATATATATATATATATATATATATATATATCTATATATATATATATATATATATATATATATATATATGGCTTTCAGGCCCAATTCAACTTTTTTACAAGGGTTTTTGAAGTATTTATCTCTCTCTCTCTCACTGGCACCTCAATGCCTCCTATATTTACAAAGCAGTAGACCCTTTTCACATATTTAGGTTTCACAGTTCTAGACCTGTATTTTTATAGACCAATCAGCACTCGATAGGTATCATGGCTAACATCGTGCTGCCGTTTTTTATTTCCTAGAATATGTGACACCCATTTGGTTGGGTCAACTGGAAGCCAAGGTTTATTCTGAAATCCAGTTAATCCAGTGCAGAATTGAACATACACATATAAATGATGCAGTAACAGTGAATGCTGCATAGAACTAAGAAATAAAGCCTTTCTGAGCATTTGGTAAAAGTAGGAAACATATCACTGAACCTTAAACAACAAAAAAAAAAAAAATAGCTGTTCTTGTATATATACATAAAACCTGTTCTTAAATTTAAAAAACAACAGGAAGTAACTATGCCAACTAACAAGTAGTAATGGATGAAAACTGTCTCACATAACCGTTTTGAATAAACATTCCTACAGCACCAATGCAATGCTTTCAATATCATTCAACCAAAACTACAAATTTTACCTTCTGCTTGATGAAAACCAATCTCAAAATGAGCATGCCAGTATCAGTCTAAGCAAATCATATTAATCTTCAAAATGTCCACCCTTGATAAAGCAAAATGTTACCTTTATTTGCTATACTTTCAAATGCCAGGAACAAAGTAAAGACTCCTTCTCCAAAAGTCCCCCTGTGGGTCAACAATAATAAATGTCACTTTCTTAACTAACTTTCATACCTCAAATTCTGATTTTTTGTTTTTCTTCAGGTTACTGGTGAAAATGTCAAGGTCAACCTTCATCTGTATCAAACGTGCCTTTGTCTCTAATGCATGGGTTCTTTCCTGTTTTAAGGTTTCTATCTGCAAAATAAAAAATGCACTTCTTGTCAAACACTAGACATACTATTAGTGGTGTTAACTGAACAACTCATAATTACACCTTTAAAAAAACTTATTCATCATCAATTGCAGAATCTCGTCACTAATAGCAGAATCTAACTGCAAATCACATTTATTGTTGTGCCCTTTTATGCTTATATTCTGGCCTTGCTGACCACTTCAAATCCCCAGTAGGCAAATATTTTGTTGCTGGCTAGTCCCCGTTACGCCTAGGTAATATCCTTGGCTTTATTTGTGACTGTCTTTAGATGGACTGAGCATAATTATATTCAGTAAGGGAGCGATGCTTTTTTTTTGTTGTTGCAATAATGATGTCATAATTTGCCTTAAGCAATTGTTTATAGTGATGCTTCACTGCATCGATACCCTATAAAAAAAATTTAAAACAGGGGAATATAGCAATTTTATTTGCCGAAACTAGACAAATTGCCAACAATAGCCTAACTGCCGAAAATCGCAGGTCTTCCAATTATTTCATTGCGACTGTCAAAATTCCAGGCTTTTCCAGATCAGTATTTTTTTTCCAATGTGAAAAATAGGTCTCAATGTTGGGGCCGCAATCTCAAGGTTAATTTTAAGTTTCCTGGTCAGCTACGAATCCTGAATTTACCCTAAACTAGACTAAAAACCAGTACATTACCACCCACTGAATACATATTACACCAAGATATCTGACGACATGGAAACAGATCTACTTACTCATCTATATTATTAAAAATGTTTTCAGTCTATTAACTATAGACTCAGAAACAACTGAACCGATTGCTTTAAAATTTTTACACAACGTTGCCTTGACCAGATTTGTTTTTAGTTGATTGGCCATTTTTGACTGCTGAGCAGGGCTGCCAATAATAAACTTTGCATTTTATATAATTTCATTTCCACCAACTACTTGAGTCTTTGGTAGCACAGTTGTATATTATCTGCCTATTATGCGGGTGACCCGCGTTCAATTTCCCGCTAGGCAATATAAAATTGTTTATATGATAGGGGTATATGACAGACACTGTTAGCTGAGAGCTATTTTCTTTCTTTTCCATTTCACCATTCTAGACCACAGCAACGTGTGGCCGGGTACAGCTAGCTCATGGAAGATAAAACAGCAAAACAGTGTAAAAATACCCTGCATAGCTCACAAATTTATACTTACCCGTTCTTTTTCCTGCTGTTCCCAAAATTCACGTCTAGTTTTTTGATCTTCTTCAAACTGTTCCTGAAGAAGTGGTAACTCTTCGATGCGCTTAGCGCGAGCCAAATAATCCACCTGTAATGAAACAAGTTTGATTAATCACTGAAACTATCATGTTATATATTGTACTCAATAAATCCATTTACATCATGCTTCTGTTTCTTATCAAAGCATTAAAGTAAAAAAGAACCTAGAGTTTCTTAATTGTTAATTCCTAAAAATAAAACCATAATTATTTTATTCCCCAGAACACTGCAAATGAATATGGCATAGGATCAGACCGTTATATCCTGTTACCATTAGACAAATAAAATAAAATGGCTGATCTACTGGTGGAAAAAGTTGTATGTAACCACTGCCCAGTCGGAAATGTAAGTAATTTGTTCCACAGAAAAGCTTAAAGCTGTTCTACTTGCAACAGTAAAAGTTATGTATCACCTATTACTGACTATGCTAGATTTTTGCTGAAAGCAAAGCATGCTACTTTAAACTAAGATTGTCAGTAACAAGTCAATATATTATGCATTATAGAAAGAAGACCTTACATGGTATACTTAAGTAATGTGAAATGTATAAATCCTATCTAGAATGGTCCTAGACTACTTAACTGTCCCTACTAAAGAGCATGCCATATTTTACCTTTTTCTCTTGTCCTTTCAGCCTTTCTTGCAGCTCTTTCTTCTCTTTCTCCAACTGTTCAACTTGTTTGGCCATAATTTCCTCAACATCAAGATCAGCTATTTCCTGCACAAAGGACACATTTTTATAAATATTAGAGAAGACAAGATTAAATGCCATTTGATTTGATGTAAATGAGACATACATCGAAGTAACTAAAACTGATCAAAACATTTTTATTGGAATTGTGTTTTACAACTTGTTATAAATAATTTAATTAATTACATATGCTAAAATGTAGTGCACTAGCCTAGTTTAAATTCCCATGATATCCTAGAAAGGAAAGAGCTACAAAACAAAACAAAAGCAATATGCAAAGGCTAAAATTACATTTTAAGAGTAAATAGCTCTATGGTATTCTGGCCCACAAAACTTCAGATAAAGACAGTTTATCACTACTGAACCTGATGTTCTGATAATACATCTATTCAGGTCCTCATCGTATTACAAGAATACATTTAATATGTAGATTTTTAATACAAACTATTACCTCTTCATCAATGTTAAAAATTTTGGTCTTGCGCAACTCTTCCAAGCGCTCCTTTACATGTCTTCTTTTGATCAGTTCATGCTCTTCTTGCTGCCTTTGCCTGTTTCGCTCCTCTGCCTCTCTTTCTAAACGAGCCATCTCAGCTTCATAGGCTTTGCGTCTGTGCTCCTCTGCCTGCTCATATTCCTCACGTTCCTGAAAAATGGACAATGATTTGAACAGAACTTGAAATACAAACAGGAACGACAAACAAGTGATGCAAACTGCCGTCATTTTCATCAATAGTAATAATTTAATTTTTATGTAATCCTTGTTACTAGCAATAACCATACTGCACACAAGGCGGCTGCTCCCTCCCGCAACATGCAATGCGATGCTGTCTATGTGTATCCATGGGCTGCAACACCATCTGCCCTTAACAAGGCTTTTCAGCTGAAAATGGTCGATAATCAACTATTCTCATACCAGAAACGGCCGTAGACATTTAAAACAAAGGTAGCCAAAAATTAGACTAACTGCTGAAAATCGCAGGTCTTCCAATGATAGTTCTACCTACCACAGCCGCAGTCAAAATTCCAGATATATATATATATATATATATATATATATATATATATATATATATATATATATATATATATATATATATATATATATATCATGCCTTCAGGCATTTATGGCCAGACCTATATTTTTACAGACCAATTGGCACTCAATGGGTGAGGTCATCATCACGTCAGCCATCATTACTATACCCTGTACACATATACATGGCTTGGTTCACACGGTAGCCAAGGTTTAATTCTTTATTTAAAAAAATAAAAAAGAGTTTGGCTCCATCACATCTAAACCCATGATCATAGGATCTTCAGGTGAGCATCTAGCCTGCTAAATCATGATGGCTTATTATATATATAATATTTTTAGTATCCAAAAGCCAAGAGTTGTTAACCCTTAGGCTCGGTATTGTGGATATCGCAACCCTTCGGCCTTGATTCCATGATAAATACAGTAAATCTGGCTTTTCTGCCTACCCCTGGGCGTGAACCTGGACCACAAAGAGTTCATCACTCTGTCACTGCTCAGTCCGGTTTAGCTAACTACGCTAGAGAGCCGGGCATATGCACACACACACACACATAGGGTGAAAGGAGGGAGGGAAGCGAAAGGGGGAGATAGGGGATAGTGTCGACAAAATTGCAAGAGGGGAAGAGAAAGAAAGAGACAGATACAAAACAAAAAGCAGAAGAGAGGATGGAATGGGGATATATATGTAAACAAAAATTTGACGTTTCCGTCGGTTATCCCGGTTTTAAGAGCCCTGTAACATTATGCAATAATTTTAAAGAAAATAATGGTAAGATTACCCTCTGATCTTGATTCTGTTCAAGCTGTTCTTTGCGGTTTTCAATAATCTGCCTACGCTGTAAAATACGAGCATGTTCTTTTTTGGCAGTCAGACGATAGCTGTTAAGAATGGCAGCTTTCAGTTCCTCTTCTTCTTGCTGTTAACATAAAATATACATAACATCATTACACAAATATAATCAAATATGTTTTTGATCTTTTAACACTTTGAGCAATCGTGAGCATTACTGTCTCTCATTACCAAGGGTGTTTGGAGATATTATTTTAATGACCGGTTTTCTAATTAAATCCATAAAAAAATATATTTTAAAAGGTGTAGGGTATTGAAACTTTCTGACCAATGATTGTTACACATGAAAACAAAAATATGTAATGCAAATGTGTCACACGATCATGCGGCCATCTTGTATTTGTTTGGCTATATATAGAAATACTGGAGATGTTTTGAAACCATCATCCTTCGCCACTTTTTAAGGAATTTGATCAACTTCAATGCAATAAAATGTTGGGGACATGGTTGGCAATGAATAATATAAGCTTTGAATGATTATTTTTTAACAATTAACCAAATATTTCAACATTAAAATAAAACAAAAATTGAAAAAAACTAAAAAAAAATAAAAAATGGTATGTTTTCTTCTTGGGTGCATTGTGTTTATGTGGCACGTTACAACTAGTATTTGTGAATGATTACAAAAGCACCTCTAACCTCTAGCTGAAGTTTGAGCTACCTCCTTCATTTACTGAAGTTGAAGGTGTAGTTTTAGAACTCTGCAAGAGTCTGTTGGGAAGGTTGGTAATCTTCAAATGTGTGGTATAGCTTGAAACAGCGTGTCAATCATAGAGGTGTACTGCAATCTGGGCAGTTCATGCAAGTCTGGCTTCTTTTACCTGCAGTCTTACACTTTAGTCTGGTTTGTACTTTGGCTTTTCATATATATGTCAATAAAATGGCGTTCGGTAAGTGGTGACTTGTGGTCTTAAAGGTGTTACGTTGTGCCGAAGAACAGCAGGTCCAATAAGGGCAAGACTGACATTCTGCTTGAACTTCTTTGCTGTTATCTTATTCGTAGTGTTGACAGTGTTGTAGCTTATATGCCCATTGACCAGAGCAGTTTCAACTAAAAAAAAATGATATAATGGCAGATACCATTTATAAGATCTGTGGGGGTAGGATTAGTTTGCAGCAAGCTGGCCAAGTGATCGACACCACCCTTACTTTTGTTATAATTTTCAGCAAGAACAGGCTTGTTTATTATTCTGCCCTCAGGAACTCCCCTTTTTCTGTCTTATCCATAAAATCATTGGAGTTATTAAGTTAACAGTTGATATTAAGTTAACTCTCTCTGCCAGGTAGACCAGTAGTCTAAAATTGCTGGTTTACAGCACGTTCCCACACCAATGTGAAGGCCTATAAATGCAGAAATTTTAACTGCATCAGTATTATTCAAAGTAAGTTTTCTTGTACTTGGCGCTTCCAGTGTACTGAGACAGGTGATTTTCACTATACCTGTTGACTTCACGTGCAATCAGATCTATGGCAGTGTCAGGGGAATTTTTTTTTTTTTATTAATCGGCACAAACCTAGTTGTGCGTGACACAACACCTTGTTCTTGGTATGGAGGAGGATTGTCAATCTCAACAAGTTCATTTTCAGCAGCCTTTCTCCATTTCCAAACTACATTTTCAGCTGTATAAATGTTCTTGTCTCTTGTGCCGCACCAACTTTTTTAAACAGGTGTACCTACATCCCCTTCCTCATCAAGTCAATCATCGCTGTCGCTACTTTCAGTTGCAATATCTCCACTGGTTCATCTCTACTTAGTCAGGAATCATCACTTTTAGCACCACAATCACTGGCAGTCAGAATCGTCTCTATTACAAGTCTGGGTTTCATCATCAGACATGATGAGAGACTGAAAACGCACTCAACACAAAAATTACCAAACTTTCACTGGGGAGAAATATGCTTGTTAACGGCTTTAATCAATAAAAATTGCGAGTACGGCCATCTTGGAACAATAAAAATACAAGAATGCAATTTAATTCAAAAACTATCGGTCGGACGTCGACTGGCAAACTACAGGTCGCGAATGCGATGAGCGTCACCAGGGAATATGGCTGGAAATTTGATCATCTAAGTTGGTCAGCATAGGATGAAGTTAGTATGAAACATATCTGCCTTGCACATTGCTATCTCATCCGTTATCAATCATTACAAACATCAGGGGGGGGGGGGGGGGGGGGGGGTGTCTGTGAAGGGTGAATCTAATTGGCAGAATTTGGAAAATTTGGTGTGCCATTCCTGTATGCCCATAACAGAGATAACTGAGTGGTTTGAAGCCAAAGAAGCAGTCAGAGTAACAGGATACCTCAGTGGCAGACTAATAGAGCCAAATTAGTCAAGAAAATATTTTTCTGTCAAATTACAGAAAGACTCTAATTCCAGTGAAACAAGAAATAGAAAAAAACATTATTTTCAGTGGCAAAGCAATTTTAAAAAAGACACAAACATGTAGTGCGAACAGACACTGGTTTAAGTGAATGGTTTAATGTCAATAACTGGAGTAAAACCGATGCATTTTATCTTTCCTAATATTTGGCTGATGAAACAAGTGTTGTGTTGGAAACAACACACTGACTGAATTGAGAATACATTGGACGGAAGATCTAGATTTTGCTGATGGTACTGTTCTGCTAAATAAAACCACTAATAACATGCAAAGAAAAACAGATCATACAACAAATATAGAATCAAAAGGTGGACTATAAATATTTGTGAGATACAAAAAACAGATCAATCAGTTGTAGCACTAGAGACAAAAGTAATTAAAGTAACACATCAATCTACTTATTTAAGTAGTAATTTTGTAGTGAAGGTAATACTAGGGCAAAAATTATGATACCCACTGGCAAGGCATTAACAGCTGCTTGAACACCATAATTGTGAACTCTAAATTGTATATTTTAAAACCAAGTTACGCGTTTTCAATTCTAAAGCTATTGAAGTTTCAACATATGCCAGTGAAAGTTGGAGTACAACTAGAGACATGGAATGAAAGTTAATTGCAATATGAGAAATGCCAGGGCAACCACAAGTAACAACTGTTATAAGACCTAGAAGATGGCGCTAAACTGGACTGGATTCCATCCGTATTATCCAACTGATTGTACAGGACAAAATAGAATAAAGAAAAGCTCTACATGACATAAAATGGCACAAGACAGTGAATCAATAAATGAATGAAAAGAATCTGAAACAGTACTGATTCAAGTGTACATTTTTAAACAAATATCAGATCCTTAGAGTAGTTCAAAATCTTACCACTGTGCTTTCTTTTGGGCCGATGATTTCTACAGCCTGGTTGAGGGCCTGGGCTATGTTTATGACTTGATTACGAATCTGCTCACTTGGCATGCTCTGAATGTAAGGCCCTTCTGGAATATCTTCTTTCTGTGATACACCCAAGTCTGTGCCAAAACTTAGTGAAAGTGTACGATGATCGATTCTAACCTGTGAGCAATATAAAATGACAAGAGAAAGCTCCTGAAAACATTGATGAAGAATGCCAGAAAATCTTTCTTGAAAGTTCAGTATTTCACATGTGCCAGTAACAGAAAGTAAAATAGCTGTGTACAAATTTGAGGAAAATTACAGTATTCACGTGTATACAGGCTGCAACAATTTAACTGAACATAGCTGTAGAAAAAACAGGTTGTAGCTTATTTTGAGATAAAAGGCCCATGTGTCAACAACACCATTTATAACAGTCTGGTGGGTGTCTGGAAGTCGCTGTGCCACTTGCCAAGTTACAAGGTCATTTTGTGCCACAGCCCAACTTGCACAGCCATAAGTGGTTTTAAATTAGAGCCAAGGAACTCCCATGTCTGATGTGCTTCAAACAAACCATTTTTCTGCGTAAACAAAATTCATCTGTCCGTATTTTCTTGACCTATTCCAGCAGATTGTTTCTATTTGCCTCCCAGCTGCTTGGTGTCCGTTTTTCTGCACATAACACAATACTTGCAACTTAATTTACAACTGTAACTTGTTCTTACACAGCCCATCTTTTACTGCTTATAGGTTCTATGTTTCTGTTTGGTTTCTTTTCCCCAAATTATCCTGTCAGAAACCAGGTAAACATGCCTGAGTATGGAATATAAATGATGCAGTCTTGAGTCAGTTGCTAGTCTTGTCCTGTTATTAAGACTATCTGTTGCAGAAAGAATTATTATGATTCTAACAGATGACAAAGAAGGTGAAAGGGGGGGGGGGGGGGGGGGGGGGGAGAGAAATATTTATTTCTGCAGTGTGGTATAGTTGTTTGTTTTGATCAGATCATCAACAACAAATCACGTAAACTCTTGGGTTTAGAATTATTGTTCACAGTAAATTTCAACATATATTACTTTAAAAAGGCAACAACCTGGAAAAAAATCTAATCTCAAGAATTATGGGCCAACCAAGCAAGTTGATCGAAAGGCTATCCTCTTTAAAAGAATATGCCATGGTGCTGAAAAAAATCCAGCGATGGACAAACCTCTTTTAACTGGGAAAATATCAGTATTTGCATATTTCAACTATGTGCATTTTAGATTACTTCAAAATTTTTTATCAGGTTCAGACGCTGATTTTATCGCATTGTACGGGGGTTTAAAATGAACACAAGATCTCTAGAAAATCTTATAATTGATCAGATACCTAATGGAAAAACAGCAGAAATTAAAAAAAAATTTTAAAGTTGGGCAATTGTGGACTGACAAAACAAGGATTAAAACAACTTTTCACAAGAACTCAATTCTCTCAGAAGCAAAAGAATATGGCGATGAGTTCAATGTTATTGTAAAAACAAATTTGTACCATTACTTAAAATACATTGTGTCAATGGAATGCATTTTTTTTTTGCAACTTCGCTGCCAAGAAAGCAGAAGCAATGGTTATGCTTTAAAAAAAAATCAATACACTGTAGGATATTCGAAAATAAAAAATAAAATTATTTCCTGTGAAACATGCTGTTAGGAAAAAAGAAGACAGATCTAATCATAGCAATAGAATACAAAGGCATTAAACAGGCATCTGAGTTTAAATATCTGGGAACTACATTTACCGAAAATGGGAAATTGGACTAGGAAATTGACATTAGATGCAGTAAAGCAAACCAAGTATTGGGACAGCTAGCCCCCCTCTTACAGCATAAGACAATCCCAATCAGCACAAAGAGGCATCTTATTCAAAGCATATTTATTCCAACTCTGTGCTATCAGTGCCAGACATGGTCACTCACAACAAACCATAAAAGAAAATTAGTAACCACGGAAATGAGATGTCTGAGAAGGGCTGTAGGAGTGACCATAAGAGATAAGATCAGGAATGAGATCATAAGAGAACAAGTCGGCACAGAACCAATTCTGGATTACATACAAAGACAGCAAGTGAAATGGTTTGCCCACTTGGAGAGAATGCCTTGTGACACCATACCATACAAAGCATACATGGAAAGAGAAGAAGGACGTAGAGCACGGGGTAGACCAAGAACAAGATGGAAGGATAACATCAGAGAAACTCTACAACAGCACGATGTGCCTATGGTCGAGGCAGCCAGAAGAGCTAGAAACAGAACCTTATATCTCCCTCAACACCCACAGCGGTAAAAGAGGACGTGAAGAAGAAGAAACGTGCTGTCAAACAGAAAAATATAGCAATGGGCTAAAACCTGGAATCAGACAGAGACAACACATTTTGATCCTACCTATAAATCCACACACATACCTGAAGTTCTAAGGCTTTTGCCGCATCCACAATGACCCCTTCCAATCGATTCTCAGAAGCAAAAGGAACAAGAGATGCAAAACGGCTGAACTTTATCTGCAGATACACTTGTGCAACCTAATAAATAAAAAAATTGAACATTTATTAAAAGAATACAGTAATTAAGTAATAAATTGATCATTATCAGCCCTAACTTACGAACTGTCCGTGCACGTCCTAGTTCATTTCTAAGTTACCTTGTTTATATCTGCAGATGTGGTGGGGGTATCAGGGTTCATAGCCAAATTTACCAATCATTTTCAAGGCTTTTCAAGGTCTTTTTCAAGGTCTCCTTAGTTTTTTTCAAGGTTGTCTCGGTGTAATACTGAAACAAGATTTTTGCCTTGTTCAAGGAGGGTGTACTGAGCACACAAGGTACTTCATTTGTGCCACATGTGTTGGTATACCAGCACAGATATCATCATCATGTAGCATTTCCTTTGTCCTGACAAAAAAACCTCGGTGTCTCACCAGCTCTCCCGCCTCATGTACTTTTTTATACTCAAGGAGTCACTTATATCCTGTGCCCATCTTCGTGTTGGTCGGTCCCTGAGCTTGATATAGTGTTTGAATTTTTTTTTAGGGCTTGGTGGTAGAGGGCAGCAAACTGAAGTCCTGTCTGTTCTGGACCTGGTACCTGAGAGGGTTAGGGGAGAGAGAGAGAGAGTCATGAAGAGAGAGGAAGACACATGCTGAGGTAGGCTGGGAGAGACAGTGTAAAGATGGACAGATGAAGGTAGAGAAAAGAAGGAAAAGAAGTCTGGGGAAGGAGGAAAAAATGAGAGGGAGGGATGGAGACATGATGAGGAAAAGTGGGGAAGGAACAGCAAAAGACAGAGAGGGAGACAAATACAGAAAGAGGGAATCTCTAAGTGAGGCCACTTTTCCGGTTCCTACCCTCTCCCAATGTGAATGTGGCCGTAATCCAAAAACAACAGTGCTAACCCCTACTGCCCCTTGCTTGCCCTATCTGTGTGTGACAACAATAATTCAATTTCTTACACTTAAGCCTGGTGACCTGAGAGCCAAGGTCATTTTATAAAGAAAAAAAAAGTCCAGGGGATCCCAACCCACCACTGGTGGAAAATAGAGAAGTTTACCCACACACATAAATAGGTCAGACACATAAATAGGTCAGGGCAGCAGTGGACTTCGTTTTATTTCTGGTTTTCCAATTACAGAAAGGAGGGGAGAGAGGAGGTGGTGGAAAGTGGTGTAGAAGGCTGAGGTGGTAAGGGTGAGACAGAGGAGGTGAGAGAATAAAATTTAAGAAAATAAAGTGGGAATGAGACAGGGAGAGAAAGAAGGGAGTAAGAAATAAGATGAGATATAGAGGGAAGAAGGTAGCAGGAAGGGGTGCACTCCCTCCCCTAGGTGTCATCAATGTGGGAGGAGAAAAGGGGGAGGGGGGGGGGGGGGGGTGACGGCAAATGTGTTTTTAAAAGTACACACATATTTAATGTGTGTGTGAGGGAGGGGGAGCTGTTGGACATGAAATGTTCTGCACTAGGCAACACATAACCTTCTACACCAACTGAAGGTATGGAGAAAGAGAGAGAGAGAGAGAGAGAGAGAGAGAGAGAGAGAGAGAGAGAGAGAGAGAGGGAGAGTGGCAAATACAAAGAGAAAGAGAGAGAGGACAGCAGTGACACAGACAGGCAGAGAGTGAGGAACAGGTAGGACAAAATGTGAGGGGGCGGGAAGGGAGATGGAAAGAGATTAAGGCCGCTAGGAAAACAAACACATCAAAAGAAAATATCCACCATGTTCCCACAGAATGCCCCCCCCCCCCCCCCCCAATACAACTTCCTGTGTACTTGAGTTGCTAGGAAGAGTTATGGAGCCGCACATTTACTAAACATTTAAACAAGAAATAAAATAGGAAAAAGGGGGAGGGGGGACAGGAAATGAGAGAGTAAAAGGAAAGATAGAGAGAAAGAGAAGAAGATGAAGATCAGAAGGGAGGGTTAGAGACAACGCAGGAGACAGAATCTCGGGGAATTACAATATTGATCACCAAACACACTGTAAAGATAAATCCAGGCCAAAAATAGAACTAGGAAATCCAGCTGCAGTCACTTTGCTTAGCCCCAATGCCATCTCTAATTAATAGAGAAGGCCGTGCTTAGCCCCCACCACGGCGATTCTATTTATAAATACAACTGAACCGAGCCCCACCATCTCCCAATGTAATCCTTTCTAGAAACCACAGCCATAAACGATTTATACTGTTCATTCTGCCCGACTTGCTAGAAACAAAGGCACACACACACACACACACACGCGAGACGGAATCTGCTACTTCCCGCCCCATGCCCACACCGCTGCTGTCTGCATGTATTCATGATCTGCAACACAGCCCGCCCTCCCCTGGCCTTTAACAAGCCATTTCGGCTGAAAATAGCCAATAATCAGCTGCCCTCACACCTGAAACGACCATACAACGAAAGTAGCCAAAAACTAGCCAAATGGCCAAAAAAGCCAAATGGCTCCCCCAAAATTGCCTGTGCTGAAAATGAAAAACACAGGATTTCTGACGATTTCATTGCCGCGGTCAAAATTCAAGGCTTTTCAAGGTCGGAATGTCTTTTATAAGCTAAAAATCCCGGTTCAAGGTCAACGAAAAAAATCCCGGTAATTTCCCGATTTCCCGGTCCACTACGAACCCTGGGGTATACCATTTAATTTTCGCAGCTATGTATTGTAACCTAAATTATGTGATTGTGCATAGGTATACTAATTGACAACATTATTCAAAGCAAACATGATAACCTACTACAACAAAACAATATCTGTGATGAAACCAAACCTGGAAATACCAATGAATAAATCGGTAATTTCACTGGGTGTTTTCTTCTGGCTGTTTAAAACATGGAAGTATATTAGTAAGATTTTAAAAATGCAAGTCTTGGACATCAATATTAAAAGACAGCCTATTTGGAAGAAAATGTTTGGAATTGATTGACAACAGTAATTTTGAAGCGCATAACACTCCAAGAAACGTTAACATGACCTTAAATCACTTGCATTATTACTGAAATGCAAAGCAGGCCTAATTTCTAATGCCATCAATAAAAAATCAGCTTGATATCACACACACAACAGCAAACCTGACCAAAGTGTTATTTTTAAGCATATCTGCACTTACATAATTTACAAAACAAGTGATGAATGGAGAACAGGTTGCATTCAGTGATGCAGTGTATATTCTGAATAGTGCAAAAAGTATATCCATCATGAGAAGTCTTATGCTAAGGCAACAGAATATAAAAGTGTTGGGTCCAGAAAATCATCCTGTCAATCCAAAAAGCATTTTAATATCTAGCTCATTCTTGGATGGCAAGGATTAGTAAGATTTAAAAAATGCAAGTCTTGGACATCAATATTAAAAGACAGCCTATTTGGAAGAAAATGTTTGGAATTGATTGACAACAGTAATTTTGAAGCGCATAACACTCCAAGAAACGTTAACATGACCTTAAATCACTTGCATTATTACTGAAATGCAAAGCAGGCCTAATTTCTAATGCCATCAATAAAAAATCAGCTTGATATCACACACACAACAGCAAACCTGACCAAAGTGTTATTTTTAAGCATATCTGCACTTACATAATTTACAAAACAAGTGATGAATGGAGAACAGGTTGCATTCAGTGATGCAGTGTATATTCTGAATAGTGCAAAAAGTATATCCATCATGAGAAGTCTTATGCTAAGGCAACAGAATATAAAAGTGTTGGGTCCAGAAAATCATCCTGTCAATCCAACAAGCATTTTAATATCTAGCTCATTCTTGGATGGCAAGGTAAAGAGAGTTTACAGTAAATATATATATTTTTTTGTCTTACACCTGCTGGCCACAATGTCCTGCAAAATTTAACAAGTACAGAAACATATATTAAAAGGTATGAACAATTTATATATGCTTATACATGCCTGCTTCAACACTCGAGTGATAATGATGTCCTCCAGCTGTGGGACATACTGTGCCAGATCATCATTCTGTTCAATGAAGTCTATGACAGGCTTGACTTTTTTGTACAAATTCAATGGATGAAAGTCAACTTCAAGAAATTGGTACAAATTCTGAAGCTCTGGGAATGCAAACTGAATGCTACCATGTCTCACCTAAGATTGATGGAAAAAACATACATTACAACATCTCCGATAATTTTAACCTTACTTCACCAACTTTTTCAAGGGGTTTTCAAGGTATAAATGCCTTGTTCTAAGGTGTACCATGCATATGCTGTATTTTATCCATGCGCACACATGTTGAAATACATGCATGGATATAGTGCTTTTACATCTAGACTTGGTGACCGAGTGCAAACTGGAAAAAAAATATCATTACTAACATTAGCAAAACTGAATGCTTGGTAGTTTCCAAGAAAACAAACTCCAATTTGCTTTATATATGGTAAAAGCAAAACATTCAAACCGGTGGGTCATCTGCTATACGTAGGCTACACTATAATATCTAGAGAGACAAGATGGACAAAAATTTTGAGAAAATATTTTTAAAAAACAAAACTGCTGAAATTGATGGATGTGGTCACCAAAATCAACCGGCAATTTATTCAGCAGTAAAACAGCCACAAACTAAAAGAAGAAGAAATTTCATAAGACAGTAGGAGGCAAGTCAAGGATGTATGTAGAAAGCTTAAACAGGTGCGTAAAATCAATTACTTAAAAATGTCAGATGACAGAGTTAAAGAAAGGAGTAGGATACAGAGGGTGGTAGAGAAGGTAAGAAAGAAAAGCAAGCAAACTGATGAGTGGATAGAGTGGAGGGACAAAAAAAAAACAATACTGAAGGGAGAGGGGCAAACAAACAAAGAGGGAGTGAGATAGATGAACAAACAGAATGGAGAGATATAAAAAGAAACAGGTACAGATGAAGGGAAAGAAGGGGGGGGGGGGGCAAAGACATAGAGATATAGCAAGGAAGAGAAAAAGAAACAGAGAGGGAGGGATGGAGAGGTAGAAAGATATACAAAGAGAGAGAAAGGCAAGATCAGAAAAAAGAACCACTGAAACAGTTGAATTGATGCCAGTTTAATGGGGATAATTGTTTATCTTGTGCACAGATTTTGGTGTGACTTGGAAATGATTACGAATGCACCTAGACCTGGAAGCCAAATTTTGCTTGTAATGAAGAACTCATTGCAAAAGTCAGAGAACGGACACAAGAAGATCATTGTTTTACTGTGATGATGATGGCAGATGAATCTGGTGTTAATAGAGAGACCATTCATAACATTTTGGTGCAAGAGTTTGGCAAGAAAAAAGTTGCTTGGCGGTTTGTAGCACATTCATTGTCTGATGACCAAAAACACCAAGTACTTAAGAGACATCATCGAAACAAGAATTTTTGACATCCAAACAAGCGTTTGTTAGATCGTGCTACTCGCTGTATCAATGCACAAGGGGCTTACTTCTGTATCCGTCTTTCAGTGGGCTGCTAATTCCTCTAAATGTTTGCAGTGTTGTCTCAAGCCAGTCTGTGATATCTGCACTTTTAAATGCAATATCATACGATTTCAAAAAAGCCCTAATTGGTAGCCTTTTATGACATATCTGATTAGAAGCAGTGGGTCCTTTCCTTTTTATTTCATAAAAAACGGACCACTAGAACCTACTTAGGGAGCTATAATTCCAATGTTTCTCGCGAATGGACATCTATTACCTTTAAACATAACAATTTTTATGCTGCCAGTGTACGAGCCATTTACAAGTTTAATTTTACGACTGTCTTTATAAAGGTGAATTCTGATGATTGAAAAAGTATTAAAGAAAGTAAAAAGCAACAGCTGAATTGTAAGAATATATTAAGGGGGGAAAACAAATGCTGGGGTGTGATGTAAGAGAGGCAGAAACAACTTTATTTAAGTGGAAAGTTGGTGATAACTTGCATCACACAAAAAGCAAATGACAATTTTCACCCTAGACATAGCAGCTGAAAAATGTATACTTGTAATACTAACCAAGTCCTTCACCAGTGTTTGCCTGGTAGGCGGAGTTTGCAACATAAGAAGTGTGGCAAGTTTTCGCTGTTTTTCCATAGCACTTTCATCCATCACCAGTAAGTTACCAATAACATTTCTTGTTGGTGGAATAGGTATGGCTAAAGTTGCACACAGAACTCTTGAAGCCATCCTGAATATAATTTAAAAACATGCATTCATTAATAACAGTAAAAACTGTTTGCTCCTGAATCTTTTAAGTGAAGACAATTCTGAAAACCTATGTTTATGACTGCCATGAAAATCAAATGAAAACATTATAAATTTCATATATCATACATCCATAAAAAGTAATGTAAGATTTCTGTAAATACAAATGTGCATCAGATGAACACTAACCACATCTGCATGCTGGTCTAGTGAGACAATAGACAAAAAAAATGTCAATTTTTTTTAAATTGCTGAAATTCTGACGACCGTGGTTACTAAAAACCACCAGGAAAAGACAATTTATTCAGCAGTAAAGCACCCACAAACTAAATGGAGAAAACCTTTCAAAAGACGGGAAGAGACAGAAGTCAAAGATGTATTTGGAAAGCCTAAAAATGTGCATAAAATTAACTTCCTCAAAATGTCAAATGACAGAGTTAAAGGGAAGAGTCGTAAGACAAAGAGAGGGAGTAGGATAGACAGAGGGTGGTAGAGAAGGAAAGAAAGACAGAAAAGGTGGTAAATGGGTGGTGGCAAACAAACACAGCAGAACCCAGAGTGGGGCAAACAGCAGACTTAAGAATATACAAATAATAATAATACTTATGTCATTTTGACAGGCCTTATTTACTATAATGCCCTTTTGTATAAAATGGAATGTCAAGAAAGTGTTCAGGTAAAGGTGGTCTCATAACTATACGAAAACTTACTTTTGTAGTTCATCTTGTGATAAATTTTTACGTTGCTCACGTGACAGATTGAACAAGCGATGCAGAGTACAAGCGTGGAAAAGATAATTGCCAGACTTTGAAAAGACAAGTCCCAGTTTCTGATAGTAATTAGCCATCAGTGATGGTTTAGGTGGCTTTTTGGATAATGTAATCAGCCCATGGATGTCCTCTACTGCCTTGAAAGCTTCCTAAATGTAAAAAGAACATAATTACGTCAACAAAAATAATTACACTTTGAATTGATTGTGACGCAGAACATCAATAGTTTGGTGCTTTCATGAAGCAGACAATAGTTGAATGAGCATGTGTACAGGTCTTTACATTAAAGCACACAATCCATTTTCAAACAAAAAACAGTGTAAAATAAAATGCCCAGAACAGCGGAGTACAGATAATTTTATTCTATGCGCACATTTTTCGCATTTCTAAGCCAGACAGCATTGCCTTCTGTTGTACTGTCTGGCTTATGGCCATCATGACAAAGAATTGTAAACCTCTACAAAACTAGTATAAGGGGTGAAAATGCTTTTATTTACAGTGATAAAAAATGTAGAAAAGTGGTAAAGACATATTTTACATGCACATGTTAACACAGTGTTCTGTATCAGGTACTTTAGCTAATAGAAGCTAACTACAGAATTCTCAAAATTCAGGTAAAAATTATTTCTAAGATAATTTTTAAGTTTAAATGTATTTAACATTTCCACTTAATTAAAGTACTCGGCGGACAGAGTGGAAGAAAATGGAGGTGAACTTGCAAGGTATAGAATCTAAACAATGATGGAATTTGTCAACTGACTAAAATGTTGACAGGCAGAGGAAATTCACTGGCAATGGTTCCTTATATGTGTATGATATGTAATAAATTTCGTGGGTCAACCGTTCTTGACTTTTGGGAGGTTAAATACTTGTATCCATCCAGTAAGTGATAAAAAATACCTTGAGCAGAAACTCAGAATAGTACAACACAAATCTGGCTATCCTCAAACATGGTCCATGACATAACTGAGATACCATCCTAGTTTTTAAGAACCTGTACCTTCAATCAAGAGCACAAGCTCGTCCGTTTACTGTGACCATCAAATAGTGAATATATAGACATATATCATGACCTGCAGTGTCGCATAGCTTGTTCAAAAGAGATGCAAACCTTTGCATTTAAAAATAACAGCAATGGAAAGCATTGTGCCTGGTCAAAGGACATAGAAGACAACCTGGCACAGATATTTTACAGGGGACCTGCTAAATGATTTAATGTCTTGAAACTGCAATTGTTAGGAAATCCTTGAGGTTCCTGAAATAATCTAAGAAATGCCTACAATGACGAAGAGGAAGGTGAACTTTGTGTCAAACAACAATATTTCATATAGGTACATTACATTTAATGTAAATACAGTTACCTGCCACAACTCCATACTAATTGCACTGTCTAGTTGCACGAGCCGAGTCTCAAGATGCATAGCCTGTGATTCTGGATTGTTGAGGTTTATTGCAGTCTGCTGGTGCTGGTGCTTATGTATGTGTCCCAAATGTGTACGCAGCTTTAAGGAGAGTACAGTTATCAATTATTTCACTATGAAAATTGACAAAAATATTTACTATATAGCATGATATAGATGACCTTGCCTTGCTTTTCATTAAAAGTGACTTTTCTCATACCATGTAATCAATAGAAATTTGTGACAATCAGTTTCAAACGATTTGATTGCAGACATAGGAAATGTATCAGCGTTTCAGTTTTGTGTAAAAGTGACAACTCACAATATTTATATTTTTAGTAAGACACGGACCTTGAGTGCAGCTGTTAATGAACAGCACTGCTAATGTACAAATCAAGCATTTAATCAGCTACAACATTTCTATGCAGACGTAAAATTACAGCTCTTTCTACAATTTAATAATTGACATATGGCTTGTAACATTAATACCCATTCTCTACCATTTTTCGTTATTTTCAGTACTTTCTATGGTGAAAATATGGAAGCTATGGGGTCTTCATGTTGACTCTAAAATCAAGAAAGGTTGTTAAAGATTTTAATACCTGTACTTACATTTTCGCACAGCTTTCTAAACTCTGTCTTTCTTGAATACTTTAAACAGAACTTGAATGCTGAAAACAAACAGTCCAGATTCTAATGAAATAGACAAGATCAAAAAAGCTACGTCTTTTTAAATTATCAGCATCCCTTTAACTGCAGAAAAATAGTATCTAAATCAAATTAACATTTGATATCTAGAGCATGCAACAATACAAAAAATTGTATATAATGTTAAGATTAAACATATGTCATGATGTAAACTTATTCATGACAATTAGGGTTCGTAGCCAAAATTACCAGTTAATTTCAAGGCTTTTCGAAGTATTCTTTTTTTTTTTTTCAACATTGTGTACAGATAATACTGAGGCTAGGTATTGTTGCCTTGTTAAAGGGTGTACTGCACACATACGGCACTTTATTCGTGAGCACACACATGTGGGTATACCAGAACAGATGTAGTGTTTTTAAATTTGTTCCAGACTTGGTGGAAGAGGGGAGCAAATTGAAGTCATGTCTTTTCTAGATCGGGTAACTGAAGTAGAGATAGAGATATTTTTTTAATTATTGGACACAATGACTAGGAAAAGACATATAGAGCAGAAAATGTAAGAAACAAAAAAAAAGGGGGGGGGGGGGCGAGGAAAGAAGAATGAGAGAGAGGAAAGAGTGACGAATTATAAAGAAAATTAGAGAGGATACAAAGAAGACAGGGGACAGAGTAAGGAAAGGAAGAGAAGAAGAATAAAGAGAGAAATTAGAAGAAAGTTGGAAATCATAGGAAAGAGAGGGGTTAGGTAAGAGAGAGGGTTAGAAAAGAAAAACATTGTTAGGTTGTTGCTCAAAATGTTAACCCTTTGGCTCGGTATAATGGATATCACAACCCTTCGGCCTTGATTCCATGATAGATAACGTTAAGTCTGGGACAAACTCTGAGAGACAAAAATTTGGAAATCTAAGTGGTGTCACTTTTCTAGTTCCCACCCTTTCCAAGTGTAAACTTGCCTATGGTTCATAAACAAAGACTCTGACCCCAACTGCCCCATGCTTATCTGTCCGTGTTTGATTGCAACAGTTCCATTTTTCTTACACTCAAGGCAGCTGGACCTGGGAGCCAAGGTCATTTTTTTTGATCTGCAGCGAGCATCTAGCCATGTGGCTTCCATCACCAGGAACCTTTCTGGTTCTCCAATTTCAGAAAGGAGAGGGGGAAAAAGTGAGACATAGAAAGGAGGAGACAAATGAGGTGAGAAAGAGAGAGAGAATAAAGATTAAGGAAAGAAAGCTGGGACTGAGACAAGGAGAGAGATAAAACAACAAAAACTAGATCAGGGAGCTTCACGATATAACAAACAAGCATCAGCCTTCATCAGCACATACATAAACAAAACCACACAAATATACAAAATCACAGGAGAGAAAGGGGAGAGGCAAGGGACGAAAGAAAAAATAAAGAAAATGAGATCTGAAAGAAAGAAGGTAGCAGGAAGGGGGTGTGGTGTCTGTCATCATTGGGGGGAGGGGGATAGCAAATGTGTTATTAAAATTATACATATATTTAATGTGTTTGAGGGAGAGGTCGACAGGAAATGTTCTACATTAGGAACCACATGACTCTGCTACTCTAATACTGAGAGAAAGAGAGAGAGGCAGTGACTGACAGACAGGCTAAGAATGAGGAGCAGATAGGACAAAAAGTGAGGGGGCAGGTAGGGATACGGACATAGATTAAAAATTACATGTATAGTCAGTTCAAGCACTACGGATGCTAACACATATAACATATCAGAAGACAAAACTGAAATATATAAAAAACGGAAAAAACCACAAGGCTCATGCTGAATCTCCCACAACCAAAACAACTTCTTGTGTACTGGACAGTTACGTGGAGCAGCACATTTAGTAAACAAGGAAAAATAGAGAAAATAGAAGAGAAATAGAGTAAAATGAAAGAAAAGAAAAGAAAGACTCGATGGAGAGAGAGAATGCAGGAGATAGGCAGGAGAGAAATTAGAGAAGAAGAGGCAGAGGGGGCGGGGGGGGAGTGTGGTGAGAGGGGAGAAAAGTTTGGGTGGAAAGGGGGGAGGAGTGTGTGTACACAGCGCCAACTACACTGTAGAATGAGCTTTAGACCTCAGTCAGAAGATACAGCTGGAGGCCGCTGTGAATGAGCTATGCCTAAAATAGAATTGGGATATACAAGCGACATCATCACTTTACCAGCCCAAGCCTCTCCTAATTTAAATATGGTCCAGAAACAAGACAGGCATGCAAGCCAGCTCCTGTCACATACTGGCTGTCAGTGTGTGGCTTCATTTACTTATAACACAGCTCACTGCTGCCCCACTCTTCCTCAAATGCAAACCATCCGCACCCCGCAAACCAAACAATGAACAGAAGATGGATTTGTTGTTGTTGTTATCGATCCAGCGGCGCATGAGCTTTCGCCCTTTGGCCCAATGCCATGTAGTGGAATTTGCATGTTTTCACAAGCTGTTCTTTTCCTCCGTACAAGGTGTTCCACTTGTCTGGTCTCGGAGGGAGTAGCGTTCTTCTTGTCTCACTGAGTTTTGGGCACTCAAAGAGATGGTGTTCAACAGTTTCGTAGGGGTAGTTACATAGCTGGCACTCTGGGGAGTGTTGTGGCTGTATTCTGTTTAGGTGTCCATTGAGTGGAGTATGTTGCGTTCTAAGTCTAAAGATGGTGGCCTGGTCCCTTCTTGTTAGATGGTTAATGCTGTCATTAGGATCAGGGCCAGACATATGTCTATAAACCTCTCTTCCAGTGTCTCCCATGGCCCATCTGTTCAACCAAGTCTCTTTGTTTATAGCTCTTATCAGTGTTTTTGCTGTCTGGAGGGTTGTCGCTGTAGGTGGTTGTTCTTGTGTTGCTCCTTTCTTTGCCAATCTGTCAGCTCTGTCATTACCTGGTGTGCCGGAGTGACCTGGAATCCACTGCATCACTATTCTGATGTTGTATGAGGTAATAAGCTGATCGGCATCCAGGATTATCTTGGCTATGTCAGTTCTGCAGCGTTCATTGCCCTCCAGAGCTTGAAGGGCAGACATTGAGTCTGTGAAGATGACAATATTTTGGACCTTTGAGGGGTAAACATCCATTACAGTCTTTAGGTGGTATACTGCTGTTTCCAGTGCAATTATTTCAGCTTCATAGTTTGAACAGAATTCCCCGCATGCATCAAAAATCTCTTCAACAGATCCATCGGGATAACCTATGTAGATTCCGTAACCTGCTTTAATGGTAGTTTTAAATGCTGATCCATCAGTATAGACATGTATCCATTCTTGGGGGTAAGAATCAACGGTCTTTAGTGATGAGTTCATAAGAGCGATTGGGTCGGACTGTTTGGTTTCCTCGCCTACCAATTTAGTTTGGACTTCTGGAGCTTTAAAGCGAGCATGTGGTGGTAGGTTTTTTGCAACATTCTGAATTCCTTGACGTCTTTCTGGGAGGTGGTATCTGTCCTGAATTTCATTAACACAGTGTAAAACCGATTTGTGCTTTATTCTTTGTTTGGATTCCCAGTTTTCTACAAGATGTCTATTAGGATGGTTACGATTTTTCCTAACGCATCTTTCATAAATTTCTAAAGTGGCTTTTTCTTTCCGCAACCCGAGGGGTTCCACATTTGTATGGATTTCACATGCAGCAGTTGGTGTAGACTGCATAGCTCCGCAGATTAATCGGAGGGCATTATTTTGTACTCTGTCAAGAGTCTCTAGGTTAGTTTTGGAACAAGTTGTAAGCAGTGAGTTGTTGTACTCTATCACAGAGCAAACATATCCTAGGTATAAGCCCCTCAGAGTTTCCTTGTCTGATCCCCATGATGTACCTGCAAGTCTCAGAAGATGGATCAACTGCAAACCCCCCCCCCCCCCCTCCCCCCCCCCCCCCTTAAATTGAAGGTAGCTGAAAATGTTCAAAAAGAGACTCACTTAGGTGCATCTACCTATTTCAGCTCAAATTCCAGGTACATATGTCTTTCTTAATGTTCTGTCTTTTCCCAGGTCAAAATCAGGCTCCTGGTCAAGGTCGCAATGTCTAGGTAAAATTCAAGACTCCCCCGTTGGCTACAAACCTTGCATTATTTTAAGGTAGTTGAGTTAAGGTTAGAGAAAAATAAAAATATGTGGCACCCAGGCCAAAAATATAGTGCTTGCAAAACCTAAAGCATGGGAAGAGTTTGGAGAAAGTTGGAAAAGAATGTGCCCACTGAAATTCATAAAAGACAAGGACAGTGCTCTGCTTACTAATACAAATGATATCATGGATAGATGGAAAGAAAACTACTGAGAGCTCCTTGGTGTTGAGGAAAGTCATAATCTAGAAAAGGCATTTGACAAGGTACACTGAAACAAGCTCTGGGACTGCTTAGCAGGGAAAAATATCCCAGCACCCCTGATCAGTGCAAAAGTTTCTACAAAAGCTGCATAAATTATGTAAGAACAGCAGACTAAAAGTCAGAAGAACTTAAGACCACTGGTGGTGTTAGACTGGGTGATATTCTTTCACCTTACCTTATCATTCTTATAATGGATGATGTCATCAAGACCTGTAAAGAGAAGATAAAGAAGTACTCTGCGGGGTACTGGAAGGTGAGACCAATCTGTATATCAGAGATGGCATTTTCAGATGTGGCCCTGGTAGCTAAATCAGAGGCATACCTTCAGTCCAACATAATTGTCTGGAGAAAAAAGCTTGGAAAAAGAGGGATGACCACCAGTATCTCCAAAACTAAAACCATGGTGATCTCAAGAGTCGAGAAGAAACACCAGATCATGATGGGACAATATGCATTGGAGCAGGTCAGCCAGTTCAAATAACTTGTATTAGAGGTGACAAGTTGTATTAGACCTAAATAGGGGCATTAGGACTGAACTAGCTACACTGAGGGTTTCTTAGCAAAAGAGAAATTGACAAAAGAATGAAAATGTACCAGTCCTGACCTATGGGTGTGACTCATAAGCAATGACAACAGCTCACAGAAGCCAGCTTCAGGCCTCAGAAATGAGATATCTGAGAAAGGTGGATCAAGTGACAAGGAACAAAGTCTGCAATCAGACAATATGTCAAGATCTTGATACCCAGTCCTCACAAACCCCAGTGGATCAATCACAGCAACGATAGTCTGGACATGCATACAGAATGGGAGAAAATCGACCACCATGCCAGATATGGGAGGCTAAGAATCAGAGAACCAGACTTCCAGGACGACCCAGGGTGCTCTGGGATGACAACCTTCGACAGTCTCTAACTGACAGAGGACTGGAATGGAACAAAGCCAGAAAGAAAACTGCCGACAGAGACGTCTGGCAAACCTCTACACCCCAAGGTGAAAGAGGAGCGACTAAGTAAGTAAGCAGTTAAGGTATTTAAGGGTTAATAAAAGGTATTATTAAGGAGATATCCATAATTATGTAAAACCATCTCAGTTCTGCCATAACTATGAGGTTAAACTGAACTAATTGAGTTGCAGCAAGAAAAGACAGCTACAGCGCCATTAAAGTAATTAACATATTTTGCTACTGCTATATGTATAGTCTGAATATGATTACTGTGAATCACAAGTGAGAATGTTTTGAAATGTGATGGACAGCATTCATCTTCCATTAAAAGTAAAGCTTCTGCTAATAAATTCACTCAACATCAACAAAACAATCTCTCAACCAAAAACTGGAACAATTTTTTAACAGGAATCCAGGAACAGACATTTTTATAATAATTTACCATTCTATTTATGTCTACAAACTAATAATTTCTATACCTTGCTGGGCAATATCCTGATACAAGCGCTCCACCCTGGAATTATTTCTCAGCAGATCCAGGCACTGGCGATAGGATTCCCACAGAAATTTCACCCATGGCGTTAAAATTGCCCTGTCTGTTCTGTCCTGAAGGTCTTCCCCACTTACAGCCTTCAAGAGTAAGCTGCAAAATAAGGGGGATTTTTTTTCCAAACATTCAAAGGATGCAGTAGTGTTCTATGAAGGTTCATAAACTAACAGGTTTCCTGTAGCATAAAAGATTAACATAACAGCCCTTACTGTTTACATTGAGTAAAATGCACGGTCTTGGTTTACAGCCTATGCTCCACTAGGTATTAACAAAACAAACATGCAGCAGGTCCTTTACAGAATGTCACACCCATCAGAGCCAGTTCTCTTACCCCCAAGGTGTCTTTCATATCCTGTGCCAACTTTGGTCTCCTTTACCTGGTACAGTGTCCTCTATTACTGTTCTTTTTAGTTACAGCAACATTTGTCATGGTCAAAAAATGTTAGTCTCCGAACTATGATCCATAATAAGCTTAAATGCTGCATTTTCTAGAAATAAAAAGTCCACAACTCACATTTGTATATTGCTACAGGGAAGATGCACGACCTCATAACTGTGTCTTTGATTTGCTTGCCTTAGGTTTTAAATGTGTAATCTTTACATTGCAATCCTTATTTTTACTTCTGCTTAGCAGTCTCCATTACTGGTTATTATACTATAGAGCCAGAGTGCAATCAAATTTATATTTTTTTATGCTTAATTGTTATCTTTGCAGTCAGGGTTAAATTCTCTACATCCGTTAGAATTCAGTAGATGGTTTGGAAATATCTTAAGCCTTTCAAATTTAATAAAGGAATTTGGGGTTCTTCTTTGTTTTGTGTCATTCATAAGCTCATTATTTTGAACCTCGAATAGGTTTCACAAGTAAGTTTTCGCAGACTAGCATTCATGTTTTTGTACTGGCTCCCACTTATGTTTCACACTGGCTCCCACTATGTTTCACCAAGCCTGTTTTCATTACAGTGAGTCTTTGTATGCCTTTTGATTTTACTTTTTGGCTTCCTGGTATCTAGTATCCCCCCCCCCTTTTTTTTTTAGCTCTTTACTTGCTGATTTTCAAACATTCAGAATATTATTTCCTTGTGTGGATAAGAAAGAATATACTCTTCCAATAAGTTCTGTTTGATGTAGTTTTAGACACAAATGAGCTTCCACGTAACAGCAGTACTGTTTCTGCTGTCACATAATGTGTGCCAACACTTCAAAAGGAGAAGTGCATAGGAGAGGACGCTAACCTTACTTATGCTAGGACGAGGACATGTTTAAAAAAAGTTATAACAGGGCAGACCGGGCCCATATCCTTGGTTGGAAAGTTTAAATAGACAGACAGAAAGAACATCTTTTGATCTGGCAGCTTCTGGCGCATGTTTTGCTCCAAACGTATTGGTGTCACCTTTCACTGTGAATAAAAAAAAGGCAGGCAGAGACAGGAATCATGCATGGGCAACACCAATGCTTAGTTTTTGTGCTCTGCAGATTCTGCATTTCAAACCTAGCCTTAACTGGATGTGACTCACGTGCCTTTCTATAACACAAATATAGCAAGTCTGGAAAGATAAGGTCACTGAATTTTGAAGTGGACAAGAGGATGTTGTGAAGTTTTTGTGTACGCATGCAGCTGGACTTGAACGAGGTACCTTGTAAATCACAAAACATGTTCACAATGCCTAATCTATGTAATAAAAAGATTTATGTTGCACTCGCAACATTTTTCCACACACACAAAATTTCTTATTAAATAAATTTTTTAAATCCCCCACATCTTCCATCCCTCCTCTTCAGGTGCCAATAAGGAGCCATCATGCTAATTGCACCAGTTGCAACCTGATTTTAATTTCCCCCCACAATGTTAAATTGGTCTTTTAATGTATGTTCTTTGTTCTACGCTTCAGAAAGTTAGTCCAGAGCAGCAACAGCAGCTGATGTACTAATGTAATTATGGACAGAAAATCCTATCTAGTGATGCAAAGAGTTTGTGACACAAAGCCAAATGGACCAACAATCAAGACTTTTGGCCAGAGCTTACAGCTGGTGAACAAACAAGAAGATCATGTATAGTACCTGGTCGATGCAGATTAGCTTCTCCTCCTACCCAAATTAGCTAAAGAAAAGCAAACAGCAGAAAGTATTTCCTTTTCCAGACAGACTGCTGTGTATAAGTGTTTCTTTTATTCTGAGATATTGCAAAAAAAAAATTTTTTTAAATAAACAGGGATTCATTTCTAACCTCTCTGGGGAATCAGGAAGGTCGAGGTCATCAATATCAACAACAGTCTGTTGTGATTCTTTTCTGGCTGCTTCTGTCTTTTCCTCAGCGAGTGCAATATAATTCTTTACAACCTCTACTAGAGAACTGATATTGACCTGAAACATTAAGATCAGTGTAATCATTCTGAATGTCATACATGTTATATACTTAACTGTCTTAGCGCGAACATTATGAAGCGGAAGAATCACAAAATCGAAAAAGAAATTACAGAACTACCTTTTGTATTCAGGGAAGGTTACTCTAACGTTTGCCTTTGAAAAAAATTCTGTGTTAAAAGTCAGGCTGATCAGATTCATTGCTGGAGTTATTTAAACAGTGCCATGGGTACCAACGTTTCAACCACAAGCAAAGGATGGAAACCAATGTTCTAGATGTTTCCCAATCTCTTAAATTCAAGTCCCTGGTGAGTTTCCAGTTCTCTCCTAAAATGTTGATAGCTTTTCTAATTTTCTTTTACTATAGTATCCTAGCTGACAGCCAGCAACACTTCTGCACACTGGAAATCTAGAAGATCTTTTAGAGCTCATCTATTCTGGTTAAAAGTACAGCTTATCACTTTTTTTTTTCTTCTTGAGATTACCTCATTAGCATTTATGATAAATTCAATTGGCTACTAATTTTCCACTAAAAAAAATTCTAACCTATACAATTTATGTTCCTTCAAACCCCAAACCCCCCCCCCCCCTCAACTGAATTCACTTTCATCTTCTTTCGGACAAATTATGCATTCCCACAACTGGACTGGTATTTTTTAGACCCTCGTCTTCCTCGCATTTAGCGGCTGTAAACTCCAGTGGAAAATTCTGGTTTGCCTACTTCTTGTTTCAGACACTTTAGTGTTGCATGCACATTGTTAGTTGCCTCTTAGACATATGCACTAATTTCAAAGGAAATCCACAATTAGTCAACTCTTATTACATGCTCATTGGAGAGGCAGTTGGTCTATTCTTTTTTTCCCACAATGGGGCCACAGAACCCATAAGGCGACACTAATATTAATTTTACAAATTTAGCATATTTTTAGACAATTTTAATGGCTTTCCAAATGCTGCACAAAAACTAAATCTTAGTTTCACTAACACTAATGTATTTGTGTAGGTAATATAAAAAGCCCAGATCAGGCAGTGTAAACACTCATTTTAATTTTGAGTTTTTCTCACTAAGGAGTTTAGGGGTCAGGCAGCCTTTCGAAAATTGGCAAAAGATATTTCTGTAGCTTGTTACAGTTAAGCCATGTGTGTAACATCTTGTTATAGGGACCCGGGGACTGATGTTTAGCCAGGACAGACAAAAAAAACCCACCAAGATTGCTCTCCACTCTCGCATTTCATGGCTTTGAGTTTTTGTCGTTAAAAAATGTGATACAGCAAGCCATAACAGGGTTCTTCATGGACTCTACACTCGTGCTGTTCCTTATTGGTCTGTAATAAACTGTTAAGCTTAGGGGCGACACATTTTTGTAAGCTGACCTTTACCACGTCCAGCTAGGGTCACGCCTTGTTTTCGGCAGTCAGCAACAACCTTACGGAATGCTCTTCCAAAGCATTTGTTGGCATAGTTCATACATTCCTCTTTGTCTATGCGAATGTCCTCCACATAAGGTTTGATCTTGATAAGCTCTGCAAATGTTTTGGCATCACCATCAGAAAGTACTGATGTATAACCAAGCTTATTATGGACCAAAGACCACTGCCACATTACTTATGGAGCTTCCCCCTCCATCATTCCACCAGATACTGTAAAAATATTATCAGTCTGGAAGATGGTCTGCCTTCAAATTCAGCTAGTTAAGATTTGAAAACTCTCACCAGTGAGTCACACTTGACAATATGTGGACATAACATGCACATGTAAAGTCCTGTAAGAACATCCACTGCACAGCCAACCCCAATATAGGATGTCAGCCAAGTGCCATCAAGGCTGACAGTAATTATCCAATACATCAATGTCATGTAGAGTAATGCTGCCTGATGTGCACGAACTTGCCAAAAATACTTCACGGTTTGAGAGAAAATCAACTTTTTATCTGCTTTGTTGTGAAATGTTTTGTGATCAAGACCTTATAGGTTCATCTTTTCAAAAAACATATTGGACGTGGTGGCACTTATTCCACAAACTAATGCAGAATAAACAACCTGGTTGTTGTTGGCAAAAGATCTATCCCCATCATTACTTCTTGAAGCTAGGTACCTGCCACAAACTACTATTCACAACAAGAGCAATTAACTTCTGCATGCACAGCTAAGTCTCAAGTTTGCTTGCTGCCAGTTTTCACACACAAAAACTAGCATTTTTATGTAGTGGACAATACGTTTTTATGATTTTGCCAAGTTAGGAAAGTCAACTACTCTGTTGTCCAGTTTTTTTTTTTTTATGTCCACTATCATCAACAGAAACATACAGGTTTTTCTGCAAGAACATAGTCCCATTCAACTTTGAGAAGAACTAGAAGATGATACAGAATTATTGATTGCCTAAATTCCAGCGACGGTAGGAACAAGCATGTTAGATGCATCACATTTTGAATTTTCTGTAATGTTGACAACGCTCTGGAAGACCTTTCTTTGCTTACATTATTCGGCTAAGTGGAGTTTGAATTTATTAGACGAGGTATTTTTTGATTCAGTGTCCCTGCTATTTCTGTGTAAACAAAGGCCATCTTTGAGAATCAGATTGCCTACTTGATCAGTTTTAGCCTGCAGGAATTGCCGGTAAAAACTAAGGTCGCGTTTACACCCATCTAACGAGGTTTCCAGGTTTTTTAGTCGATAGATTGGAAATGAAAGGAAAACTTAAAATACCACGATCACGAATCTCGCCGGATAGTGCAAGGGACATAATTACAGCTAAAACGGTATAAAATACATTATCTCCTTGTCAAGTGTGAAACACCCCCAATTTGCTAACAAATTTCAATAACCAAATAATTTCACATCTAGGGTTAGCTCAGTACAATATAAATATTGCATTAAAATACCATATTTTAGACAAAAATAAATACTAAATTTGACAGAAGACATACTATGGCATGTAAAAACGAACTTTTCCAAAAAAGGTTAACCTGACCCAAATTCACTGTTTTCAACACTCGCATGGCTTTAGACAACATTCCTAGCTTTAACACTGGTGACCATCCACAATTTAATACAAACTCATCAAGTATCCGCCCATTTGTCAAATGAGTAAAAGTTCTACATATCTATCCCTTCCCAGAAAGCATGGTTTCAACCTACACTAAATGGCAGTAACAGCGCAAGTTTTGTAGTTCTGCTATTTAGCTTGGTTTATTTGCACCTAAATAATGAGAGCAAAAGAAATAGAGACAAATAAGTCAACCTGTCTCATCTGCAAAATATTACTACTTTCATCAAGAGAAGCCATTATCGATACTTCCGGGTGCGTCCAATCCCCATAAATGTTACTTTTTAGATTATAGTGACCTTTTATGGGTTTCCCCCGTTGTTTTCAGGATATGAACTAAAAATAGCAATTGGGGTTGGCGCATCCTCTGAAAGAAAAATTAAAAAGCAAATATGACGTCAAATTTTTCAGGAAGCCTCGGGGGTCACGGGATGAGTCACCTGATACATATTATTTTAGGTTCAGGGGAATGTATTCTATTTGATGCTTTACCTGTATATTTCACTGATCTATTCATTTATTTTGGTAAAGATACATGGTAAATAATTTTTTTTAATGAATTTATTAGTAGCCTTTCTTTTACAAAGTATTTTTTCTCAAACTGAAACAGAAATTTACCCATTTTTGTGTGTTTCCAGGGAGGAGAGCTAAGGAAGTTATCAAACTGCATAAAACCACTAACACACACAAACTTACCTGTTGACATATGTTTTTATACTGATACAACCCTTCCTTCGCAATGTGGGATTTTCGCAATTCCACGCACAGCTCAAGGTACTTTTCCATGATGGGCTCGTGAGTTTTCTGCCATGTTCGATGTTTCTTACTTTTGATAACATCATACAATGCATCAAGAGCTCTTTGCCTTTTCCCAACATCAATAAACTCTGCGGATGATATTAAATGGTTAACAACATACTATGCATTGAAAGCTTTAGATGTTATTTCTCTAGCTGATGTAATATATAGAAATTAGTACTGCAGTAATTTAGATGAGAATGACTTGTCATTTGAGGCGTCCTAATGTTATAGTACAGGCAACATAGCAAGAAAATATAATCCACTAAGTGGCCTTTACAGCAAATATATGAAAGAATACATTGTAAACAAAGATCAAAATAATGAGAAATTTAATGGAAAAGGGGGAGGGGCATCCAAGTAAGAAAAAACTTATATCCAGCATCTGCAGAATGAATATGTTATGGTGGGTATGTGTCTTCTTTTTTTGCCTTTATCCCCCAGTGGAGCACAGAGTCTTAAACTTACAGCTAGTCATACTATTATTTGCTACAATTGCATGCAGCTCATCTCATATTCTCTACACTTTTTTTTTTTAAAAAATCTCTAGTTCCCTTCTAAAAATGTTTTAGTCTACCTTTATTTCTATGCGCGCCCCCCCCCCCCCCCTCAATTCTAGGGTAAAGCTTTATTGTTCTTAGATTTTTCAATATATAATAAAAATCCAAACAGCGTCTTTTTATCACTTCTTCACTCACAGATTTTTTTAGTATCACCAAAGCCCTACATAAAACAGCCTGCCTCGATCTCGACTGGGTATCTTCCTGTAATGTCTTAGTGATGTAATTGCACCACCCTTTTGGCCTAAACAACTGACTTTCCGCATTTATAGCCCAGAGGTTAACATTCATGGTTAATTGCATAGGACATTTGTAGCATCAACTGTGTGGTGACTTTGTCATCCCCTGACTCACAGTTGTTGTCCCTAGATGATCCAGACCAGTCGCACGCATCTTGTGGATCATCAATGTAGGACAGGGGCAGAGCATAGGCATTCTGCCATCCAAGGAGGCTTCCATAAATGCAGAGGTGATACATAGCACTCTAGCACCAGGCTCACCCAAGAAAACATTATGCCCTGCATATGACTGCTTAACCTCACATCTATATTGAGCGTTCCACTTGCTATGAGCTGCACCCTTAAGGGATCTCCATTAAATAGTCTGCAGATCTCTTGACTCCATCACCTGCACAAACTGTTAGACTATCACTGACAACAGAACCTTTCACATTGATGTCCCAGGCACTTTTGCAAAATGGATGGGAAGCATGCATGGCTTCCATGTATGGTCATTACGTATTGGTGTGGCTACTGTATGACGTTTGAATCTTTTGAGTCATTTTTAAAGTACTATTTTTGAGCTATAGATGTATGAACCATTGCTGTCTTCAGCAGGACACTTGATGGACGGACATGTGAACATCAGCCATACAGAAGAAGTATTAGTGAAAAGATATCTGAACAAGTCATATAGTAGGGCTTTCAGATGACAGATTTTAATCTGTATTCATTATTTAGTAGGGTATTTCTCCGCCAGCAGACTTCACTTATTTCCAAATACATTTTCCATGTACATTATCACAGAGGCATAGATGATGGGCTGAGGAGCGTCACAGGATTTCGGGGCACCACATATCTGGGAGCCGCCAACTCTGAGATAGGCCATTATCCAGGATGTGTGTCAGGAGTCTTGCATGAGGATCTGTAAAACCAGCAAAGAGTCTGCTGGCGCCCCAGATGAGGTATAAAGTATCACATATTCATCACAATGACCCTAACTTTCCATGTTACTTTATAGACATTTCAGCTATCTTCCGAACAACGGTCCCAAATTATCGAGGCAGAAAACATACCCTAACAGAGCCTCAGTCACGTGTCAATTGCGCACCTCTGCCACCGCAGAGAGTATCCCCCACGCGGCGTGGATTGGGGCTAAACTAGATGGCTGGGACTCACGAGCAGCAGCTGCCTTCCATTTTATTTGCTCGTGAGTCCCAGCCATCTAGTTTAGCCCCAATCCATGCCGCATGAGCGGCATGGAGGATACTCTCGGCAGTGGCGGAAGTGCTGGAAGTGCGCAATTTAAGTCGCCGGAAGTGCGCAATTGACACGCGACTGAGGCCCTGTTAGGCTTTTTTGCCTCGATAATTTATGGCCGTTATTTGGAGGAAAGCCCAATAACAGTGTAAATTACAAAGAAAACTGTTGATGATTAATACTTACTAAACTTTTTTTGAACGCTTTCTGTTCAAACATAAGCTAAAAGTCATGTGTCATGTTCGCAGACAGAAGATATAACTAGCTTGGTATAAACGCAATCTTAGAAAAGCTGCTGCACTCGAAGAATGGACGAGTGTGAGCATGTGGCATGCTTTAAGTGCATGTCGATTGTGATTAACATGCAAATCATATTAAAATCATCTTATTTCAAATATTTCTGAGTTGTTTGGATAACAATGTACACCCTGAAACTACATGTGTCAAGTTCTTTCCAATCATGCATGTCTCGATTTTGTACTTCTAACCTCCTCCTAGCACTCTTAATTTCTTAACAATGCGTAATGTTGCTAGAACACTAATAAATACTTAACAACTGTAATATAAAAACTAGTGATGATAAAGTTAACATTACCATCTGCTCTTTTGAGAGCATTTTCTGGTTTCTGAAAGTATGTAGGCATTCTTTTAGGTAAACGATGTAAACCTTTGCTTCTCTGTTTTAATATTCAGCGCTCTCAGCGTCTTGCCAACATGGCGGGTCACATGTACTAGGAGCAATGATGTCATTGAATATCATTTCCGCTCAGGGTTGCCAGATCAAAATTTAGAAAATCGGCCAAAACTGAGAAAACAATTGCAAGAAAAGCCCCAAACATGGTCGTTGCTATTATCTCATGAAATGTGCAACATTTGTCAGACAAGAGAAGTTTTGTTCTTATTCTTACCATTGTTTCAATAAGTTTCCTTTGGGTTCTATTTCTAGCCTTTGCTATGACTGATGATACAAGAGATAACACCCTCTAAGTAATATTAGTACTCACTTGATTTATTTAACAAGTCAAAGCAAAGGTGACAAGCTCTTTACAAGACTTAAGTTGAAAAATACAAAATTAAAACCTTTCACAGTGTTAGAAATTCATCTTTATCAAATAGGGCTTCTCCTTTCCAGTCAACACAAATTATTTTTCTGCAGTGTTCTTCGTTTGCACTGATGTTTTCTCCCGCAATGTGCATAAATGGTAGTTATGCAAAACTTCTTCTTCCGCCATCTCTGGTCATGCCATTTAATCCACCATGGTCCATAAACTGGGATATCATCTTAATGTCTTTTGTTTCCCGAAAGCTTATTTAACAGGTCTACCGGGTGTGGCCACATGGCCCACGTGATGATTTGAAGCTTCGCCAAGAGAGGACAGTCTTGCAAGACATATTCTGGAGTCTGTTTAGCATAAGGTCACTGGCAGGGATATGTTTGTCTCATACCTAATTTAGATGAGTGTTTGTGGAGCCTGCAGTGCCCAGTGCGTAAGCAAACATTTTTGACTTGGTCTGTTCTGTTCAGGTGGTTGTGGAAATCTGTTTCATGGTTGTAACCAATGTTTATTTTCTCGTCTGCTTCTGGTGATCTGTAAATAGAGGTTTTGATGCGTGGTTTAACAATATCATATGGCTCAGTTTTATAAACATTGAAAAGTATTTCTGATAAAAGGAGGATATCGTGTAATTTGGTAAAACGCTAGTTCTAACATAGCCATACATTTTGTTTTTACATATTCTATTTCTTGAAAAATCAACCTTTACTGTACTTTTTTTTTTCGACTGACAGTATAGAGCCTTTTCCAAAGACGTTAATGGTGTAAGAACATTTACTGGTACTGCTGAGGATGATCAGCCTTAGTTCGTTGAAAAGTCCATTTTGTCTTGAACAACAAGTGATATAATATTTACCGAGTTTACGCGTATTATTTGTTTTTATATTTTTTTCCCTTTTTTTACGCTACATTATTGCGGCTCACTTTATTTTTTTTTTAAAATGGGGAAAACAATTTTTGCCCTCTGTGTCCTCCCGGTGAAGCAAGGTGGTTGAAGACCGAGATCTGTGCAAATGGTTAGGAAGGGTTAAATGCAGCTCGGGATGGTTGTGGCATGTCGTATCAGAGGCGGGGCTCCCCGTTTTCAGGAGCTGCGATGAGTAGAGGCGAGGAACCCGTTGGGTTAAGAGGTTATATAGTAGCATAAAGAAAGCTATAGAGTATGGGCTATTGATTGGCTTGGTTGAGGGGATAGGAAGTATATATGTTATATAGTAAAAATATATAAACAAAATTACCACGCTGGGCTTATTAGGTTATATATAAAGGCAATAGAACAAAGGCTACTGATTAGCTTGTTCAAAGGGTGTAGAAAGTATTATGTTATAAAGCAACACATTTTTAAAAAGATATAATAGAGAGATGTGACGCTAGACTTATATACGGTATATATAAAGTCTATACAGTGAAGGGTTTTGTTTGACTTATCTGATGGGAGTTATAAAGCCGACCGCCACGAGTTTGACTGGACTTGCGAAAAAGTCTGGTAAGTATTGGTCAGAAGTTGATAAAAGGGACAGGATCAGAAGTTTTGTTGAATCGGTTAATCCTTACGTCTTTTTTAGGACGTAATTTTTGGTTATTTGAAGCCCCACTCTGGCTTTTGCCAGGGGCCGCAATATAGGCAGGCCATAGATATGGCCAATTGTCTGAACGCGGTTTCTGGGACCTCTCCACGGTGATCCTCACCCGCCTGGTGGCACTTTGTGTCATCGGGTGTTTATTGCTTGTGTGATGTCCTAGTGGGGTAGAAAGTCAGTCAGTCAAGTTTGGTTGTTATACTACCCGTCCTTTTTATGATGACATTTTTCGTTTTTTGAAGCCCCACTCTGGCTCTTGCCAGGGACCGCAATATAGCCCGGCGATAAATATGGCATAATGGCTGAACGCGGTTTCTGGGACCTCTCCACGGTGATCCTCATTCACATGGCTGCACATTGTGTCATCGAGTGTTTATCGCCTGTGTGATGTCCTGGTGGGATAGAAAGTCAGTCAGTCAGTTTGGTTATGATGAGGAAAAGAAACGTCACCAAAAATATAGCGGATAGGACAGAGAGCAGTAATGTTTTCTGAAAAAAAAAGAAGTTTGGTTATCTTAGTCGTCTCCATGTGGGATGCAATTTTTGACGGAGGTGTTGTTATCTACATTGACGGATCTGTCGTTCGACACGTACAAATTCATAGGCTTTCACGGTTCTGTTTCAAGGAAAACTGTTAAAAGATAGTGAGGCTTTTGCTTCGACTACAAGTAGTATGACAATGGAGGTGATGGGGGTGACAAAGGCAAAAATGTGGCTAGAGAGCATGCAGCCCATGCGTGCGCTGTGATTCCATGAGCATGTTTAAGAAGATAGATACAGGATGGATTAAAAGAAAATGGTTGGAGTCACTGAAGAATTATTGTCTAAAAAGGAATTAGTTTCATTTTTATGCACTGACACACTGGGGTAAGAGGGAATGAACGAGCAATTGGCTTGCTGGCACGGCCACGGTAGATACAGGAAAAATAATGGACTGGACCGACATTCTTAATGCTATCAAGGAGGCAGGACGAGAAAATGATTCAGGAGACCACGCTGAATTGGCAACACTAAAAAGACTACAATGACTTCAAGTCAAAAGAGGTGTCGCCAAACATGAACGATATACAGTAGTCAAATAAGAATAGTAAACCAAAACAAAACCTGTGTTATCAGTCGCCACACGCTGGGGGATTTACTGACGATGGGATCCGAGCGCTTATCGACTTGTCCGATGGGCAATGAGGATGCTATTTTGGTTAACTAACTATTAACTATACAATAACGAGAAGGAGACAAATTTCTTTGATCATAGGATGAGAAAAGAAGCACTGGAAAATATCGCGACTACTGGAAATATCACTGGTAGAAGAGACAGATGCAGACCAAGAGAAAGATTATGGATGGCTTAAGACGATGGCATTCAGAAATATCACGTGCAATCTTTCCAGAACACCGAAGACCGAGATCTGTGAAGATGCATGATTAACTAACTAACTATATTAACTATACAATAACGAGAGGTTTGCATATTCTGGTCGTCTTGTAGGGTAGGCCTGGGGTAGGAGCCTGTCCTACTACTAGGCGCGTCCACCATGTGGCGGATGGTGGAAAGGCCTCTAGATATAAAGGTTAGCCACGAATATATTAAATAAGTGGCCGTGGACCAAAACAGGTGATGGTTATTGAGAGGAGGCGAGTTAGTTGGTGGGACAGCTAACTCTATAAAATACCTCAAAACTCTACGACATGGCCATCGGCGGGTAAGAGGCGCCATAACCTCTCTCGTCCCCCCCCCCCCCCCCCTTGCTGCCTTGCAGGGTAAGTCTCTTTAAACAAAGGCTATTGGAGTCAAACCATATACAAACCGGCGAAAGGCAAGGGGAAACCACCGCTGTACTTTTCCAAGAAAATCATGCCTCAGAATAATACGTATTCAGAGAAAGACGTGAATGGGGATTCCGGTAGAATCACCTCGTCCGGGAGGGAGCATCATGTTCTACGTGTGATACCCGACCGTCATCCAGCTACTGTAGAAAAAGTTAATGGTAGAAACATCGTGAACATTGGTACATGGAATGCCAGAACACTCATACAAAACGGAAAGCTGGATAACATCAAGATGGAAATGAAGAGAATGAACATCAACATATTAAGAATTAGTGAAATGCGATGGCCAGGAGCAGGGTAAAAGTATTCAGATCAGCACAGAATTATTTACTCGGGTGGGAAAAAATATAGTAAGGGAGTTGGTATTATTTTGGATCCAAAGAACTCAAAAACTGTTAAAGGATTTTGGACAATATCAGATAGAGTACTATTAGTAAAACTTCGCGGCAGACCGTTTGACATCAACTTAGTACATATTTATGCCCCAACAGCAGATAGTTCAGAGGAAGATATTGACGCATTTTATGACGAGTTAGACCTGACTGTTGATCAATGCAAAAATTGTGAAGTAACGACGCGAAAGTAGGAAGTGAAAAAGTATACGGAATAACGGGTGGCTATGGCCTAGGAGAAAAGAATGTGAGAGGCAGCATGATAATCGGTAACACCTGGTTTAAACACCATCCTCGAAGATTGTGGACTTGGAAAAGTACTGGCGATAATGTCCGCAATCAGATTGATTATATTTTGATTTCAAGAAGATTCTAGAGCAGCTTAGTTGGAGCAAAAACTAGACCAGGGGCAGACTGCTTTAATGACCATGTTCTATTTGTAGGAAAAATTAGAATAAAACTAAAGAACATTAGAAAAACACCACAGAACATCAAGTTAAATTTAGGAATTTTTAGAACGGATAAAGAAATTAAGGAACAGAACAATATCACTGTACAAAACCGGTATAATGCAATGGAAATTATACAGACTATTGATGAACAGTGGGATATGTTGCGTGAGTCAATTCAGCAGACATCAAAAGAGACAATCCCACCAACCCATAGAGATGCAAAAAAGAAATGGATGTCAACCGAAATTCTGCAGTTGATGGACGAAAGAAGGAAGAAAAATAATGATAAAGAAGAATACTCTAGAATACAAAAAGAAATAGTGAACAAATGCAAA